GAACAAACTAAACTTAAAGAAGTGAATTCTTGTTGATTATCACGAACAAAGATATATGCAAGTGTTTGTATTTTATTGTATGTGTATACGTTTTACTCCTCTGACCCAAATCTTGATACTATAAGTTTTAGCATTATCACGAGCGTATGTGTGGTTTATGCGTCCAGCATTATGTTTTATATTAATATGTTTTGAACCACTGAACATGCGAGTACCGGGTGACTTACACTGTACCACACAAGTTGTAAAAAAATGATTCACTCAAGACGTATTTCCTCACGGAGTTTGCCTCGATCATCTTAGTAAATAGTTCATAAGGGGTGTTATAGGGAGACATCATTTGTTCAGTATTGACAAAGGTGAAAATGTACCAGATCTGGATGCTATTGTTTTATTGCTAGATGAGCTGCGCATGCAGTATTTTGAATGTGGATTATGCATGTCTTTTTGTGATGGACCTTTGGAAACTCGCAGATTCACCGCGTGCTGGATGGGCTGCGCATTATTTTTTGGAATGTGGATAGTACATGGTTCTTTATGATGCACCTTTGAAGACTGAACACACTCTTAATCACTTGATGCTAGATGCGCTACGCGTGCAATATTTTGAATGTGGATTATCCATGGTTTCTTTATGATGCACCTTTGAAATCTGAACACTTGGTCACTGGGTGCAAGATGGGCTACGCATGCAATACTAGTATTTGGAGTGTGCATAATGCATGGTTTCTTCATGATGCACCTTTGAAATCTGAACACTGAGTCACTTGGTGCCAGATATTCTACGCATGCAATATTTGAATGGGATGATGCACCTTTGAAGACTGAACACACTCTTAATCACTTGATGCTAGATGCGCTACGCGTGCAATATTTTGAATGTGGATAATGCATGGTTTCTTCATGATGCACCTTTGAAATCTGAACACTGGGTCACTTGGTGCCAGATTTGCTGCGCGTGCAATATTTGGAATGTGGATTTTGCATGGTTTTCCTTCTGATGCCTCCTTTGAAAACTGGGACTTCCCCTGGGACCAAAGCCCAACGTTTATATAAACGTCAATGTCAGAGAATAACAAATCTGGACCATCCAACAAAAGAGATTCTATTTGGTGTAAAGAGCAAAATAGCTCTGAAAAATATATGAATGGACCACTGAAAATCAGAGATGACACAAGCTGTTCGCTAAAAGGGTAAGAACCGCCTCCACGGTCTAGAGGCAGAGCGTCTACCGGGAAAGCAGAAAGTTGCGGTTCGATATCTAGCGGTATCAACTACTACAAAGATGGCACTTGTTGTTACCCTGACTGGCCATCAGCAGGGAATAAAAGAGGGACTGTTCGCCTCAGAATCAGTATACTGTGTTTGTGTGGGGTACAAACGGTCACACACACAGCGAGAGGTACCAGATTTGGTCTTCACAGATTGTCACGGCATATTTTCGTTCGATTGCATTATTTTGACGAAGTTTCTGGGGTTAATTCACCTGAGCTATTTAGTTCGACCAGGTTAGAGAAACTCATCATCACTGAATTCTGCCAAGTCCGGACAATATATAACGAGAAGTATTCCGATTTAAAAATGACCTAATCCATCACGTGTGTTATGCTGATGTCAGCGATATTTGTGGTCAGACGGAAGTAGCAGGATAGTGTTGTTGGTTGTATATTAGCGCAGTTATGTGGTGATACAATTACTCGCGTAATCAATGAAAATTGATTATGTCCAATTTTATTGTGACTTTATTGATTTCCAATCAAATTCACATAGTCATGGAAGAAGAGCACATAACTGAAGCGAAGATTTGTTTGTGTGTGGGAAACGAATAACACTTGGCTGATGATGCAGTTGGGTATCAGGAACAGTAGTAATTGTCACGGAACTGTGCTCCAATGTTCAGGTGTGTAATTACAAAGTATAAAGTAATTATCGAAACGTGGTAATAGGTTCACAGCTTTATTATTAACAGCTAATTGTACTAATACATGACAATAAAAGATAAGATAAACCCTATCTCCGCTGACACAGATCCCCGATTAATTACATTAGACCAACGATCCGGGGTAGAACAGGTCTTCAGCAACCCATGCTTGCCGCAAAAGGCGACTATGCTTGTCGTAAGAGGCGACTAACGGGATCGGGTGGTCAGGCTTGCTGTCTTGGTTTATGCATGTCATCATATCCCCAATATACTGACACTGTAGCACGACGACCGACGGACTTTGCCGAGAGGTGCCGGAAATAAAGCAGAAGGAGAAGAGTGGTCACCAGATCATATATATATAGATATAGATATAGATATATAGATATAGATATAGATATATATATATATATATATATATATATATATATATATATATATATATATATATATAAATATATATATATGTGTGAATATTGACCAATCATAAAGTAGGCACAATAATGAAACTCTCTATCATTTATAGGATTATTATGCCTCAATTCAGAAAGTAAGTGGGTAAATTCATGTTAGTATCTTACAATCTTTACTGTTTAACTTGTACCTCATCTTTCCTTTCTTTCTTTCTCTTTTTTTAACAAACCCAACTGCAACATCGCCGTTTCTACAGCTGTATATACAATGTGCATATAATATTATATACATACTGTACCTCTTATGCTGCAGTTTGCAGCCCGAGTGTAATAGAGTTCAGTTCAAATGTGGGTCAACACGGTGACACTAATCTAACCGACCTATCGCTGCTAAAAGCCTAGTCAAGTCCAAGGTTGACAGTGCTTGTTTTCGTCCTATTTGCAGGAGACAAACATGCATGTGTCTGCATGCAAGAATGTTCAATTAAAACGTTCTTAAAGCTATAAGATAAACGTAGATGACAGAAAACAGAAAATACTGTAATCAAATAGCAAGTTACGTATAGGTCTCTGTACGGCATCTCCTAGTCCTACTTCATCCGATATAAAATAATATGACTTTCACTTACATTTGGGTGTTATGTCAAGAAGACGTTTTACTCTTCATTGTAAAGTCATAATCCACCGTGATTCGGTGACTATTCAGTGACCAAAATGATGTCTGATGCAATTCACTATTTTCACTTGTACCATATGTTCCCGTGTGTTTTTTCAAGTGAACAATGCGCTTAGCTTTACATGTGTTTGTGTGTGCCACCTGTCCATTAGGATAAGCTCACCTTTCCGAGAACACCAGGTATCATCACTATTAGATGGTGATCCATAAACACCTGCTTATGATATAGTCGCAATCGTACAATAGACGCTTTCAGCAGACATTTCTTGTGGCTATGGTAAGGGTTTTGTTGATTCTATTTAACAAATACACTTAAATACGGCCATGGATGGTAATAGAAGGTCTCATTTATTGGATTTTATATAAATAGGGTGCACATTTACACACTGCACACATGAGGACAATCAATGAAGCACAATCTGTGGGTCTACCTTCACAGGGACAGGGACAAACAACGGAACAAACTAAACTTAAAGAAGTACATTCTTGTTGATTATCACGAACACAGATATATGTAAGTGTTTGTATTTTATTGTATGTGTATACGTTTTACTCCTCTGACCCAAATTGTGATCAGTTGTAGCATTATCACGAGGGTATGTGTGGTTTATGCGTCCAGCATTTTGTTTTATATCACGAGCAGGAGGCAAGTGGAACAAAACCTAACGAGGAAACATAAAACACGTAAAAAGCCAGAAGGATACTGCCACAAAGAAATATCTTCAATCTGCCATGGTAAAGGAATTAAAACAAATTGAAAATCGATAGAAACAGTTGATCGTTTGAAATGAGGTTAATTTATGCTGTGTCACGCGTGACTTTCAGTTTTCGAAAACAACGTGGGGCATTTGCTTTTTGGTGTTGTAGTGGGCACGGGTGGCCCAGTCGTCAAAGGCGTCGCGATTCTCTCTGCAGAGTTGCGTCCCTTGGGCATGCCAGAAACCTATGATTGTGGGTTCGAATCCCGGTTCACCCCGATTATGTTTCTAGATTTGTCAGCACCATACCCGCGGTCGTGGGTTTCACCAAAGTAGTAAACGTCTGAGACCTGCATCACTTCGGGCTTTCCTCCCACATTAAGCTGACACGCCACGATATGACTGGAATACTGTTAAAAGCGGCGTCACTCTTGGTGTTGTATAAGAGATTTATTCTCCCGCTCACAAATGTACCCATGTCACGGGTGCCATCTTTGAGAAAATGCACATGTGAGACTTTACAAAAGGAATATGCATGCCTCTAACCACCTCCACAAGAACGTTATATGCTATTACGGTGGAAATATATCAATTCCGGTTGTCATGTTTTCTGAAACTTACATTTGTCCGTCATAGGTTTTTTTCCTTATTTCCGTTTTAGGCATACACAACAATCTGTGTACATTCACTGATGTTGTTAGCAAGATGTTGACTGAGTTGATACTTGGGACAGCTTTTTGTGCCGTTTCTCGCCTACAAATATCAATCGAAAAGGAAGTATAGTAAGATGCCCCCGGGTCCGAAACCACTGCCAATACTGGGTAATTTCTTCGAACTGAAGGAAGCGACAATGATACAAGATCACACTCACGTGGGTTCGCAATACAATGGTATATTCACCGTCCATTTGCTAATGACGCCGGCAATCGTACTGGACAAATTCCAAATCATAAGGGACCTCCTTTATTCTCCTGAATATGCTCATATCTTCAGTGGAAGAGTTAGCACATATTTTGGCAAGCATTTGCTTCCGCATGATATGATTTTCCAGACGGCCAGTGACAGTGCCTTTCGAGGAATAAAACAATATGGAACCGCATTGGAAAATGTTGAGCATCATGCTCAAGTAGAACTGCAAGAAATGATTAACAGATGCAGAGAACTAAATGGCGCCTCCTTTGGTTGGGAAGACCGACTTACGGGTTTGGAGGACCGGAACAAAATGCCCTACACCAGGGCAGTGGAACTAGAATCATATCGCTACTTCACTCCTGTTGTTACGCCTGGTCCAAGGAACACTACGCAAGACTGTACCTATAATTGTCACAGCATCCCGAAGGGCACAATGGTACGTTTCTGTAATAATGAAAGGCCACATATCTGTAAATAGTTTCCTTCACAACAAAATTATTTCCCCCCTGCTTGTTACCGACTGGTTATCTAAGATGCCCTACAAAGTCATTACACCTTGCAATAATAACCGTTTTGCTACTGTCCTTCGCTCTTTAAAACAAATATACATAAAATTGCTATGCATAATAGGATTAATCTAGAGTACTGTTGTACAAATATATTCTTTGTCATTAGGACATATTGCAATGTAAACAAAATTAATTTGAATCTGTCTTTTTGAAGGTTATTTACAACGTATGGCGAGTACACCATGACGAATCATTTTGGGAGAATCCCTTCACATTTCATCCAACCAGATTCTTGGATGAACATGGTAAACTGCTGCCACCGGAGGATGAAACACGTCAGAGGTAAACATGCATAGCACTTAACGTAGTTATGAATCAGGTTGTAAAGTTTCACAGTAGTGAACAGTATTTCAGTAAAACTAAGGCTCAGAAATAGACAGAACTTAAATGTTTACCAGACATACCAAGGAGGATAATAGGGGCGAATATTGTAATACAGATCGTCGGATCCTTACAGACAATTTCCGTAGTCATGCGAAATACCGAAATCATATATGACAGGTATTTAATTGATTGTACATAATTACAAGAGTTTTTTTCGATTGCAGACTGTTGACGTTTGGCATCGGAAAGCTTTCTTGTCTTGGCGAGAAGCTGGCCCGAGTGAGGATATTTCTTGGACTAACGTCCATACTACAAAACTTCGTTCTGACTCTTGATCCCTCGGAACCTTTCCCTTCACCCGATCCCCGTACATACGAGATTAAATTTCTCTTACAGCCACCTTCGTACAAGCTACAGTGCAAACCCAGGCACTGAGAGCCACAATACGCCCAGTTTACCATCGTGTATACGGCCACCTTCGTACAAGCTACAGTGCAAACCCAGGCACTGAGAGCCACAATACGCCCAGTTTACCATCGTGTATACGGCCACCTTCGTACAAGCTACAGTGCAAACCCAGGCAATGAGAGCCACAATACGCCCAGTTTACCATCGTGTATACGGCCACCTGCGTACAAGCTACAGTGCAAACCTAGGCAATGAGAGCCACAATACGCCCAGTTTACCATCGTGTATACGGCCACCTTCGTACAAGCTACAGTGCAAACCTAGGCAATGAGAGCCACAATACGCCCAGTTTACCATCGTGTATACGGCCACCTTCGTACAAGCTACAGTGCAAACCTAGGCAATGAGAGCCACAATACGCCCAGTTTACCATCGTGTATACGGCCACCTTCGTACAAGCTACAGTGCAAACCTAGGCAATGAGAGCCACAATACGCCCAGTTTACCATCGTGTATACGGCCACCTTCGTACAAGCTACAGTGCAAACCTAGGCAATGAGAGCCACAATACACGCAGTTTACCATCGTGTATACGGCCACCTGCGTACAAGCTACAGTGCAAACCCAGGCAATGAGAGCCACAATACGCCCAGTTTACCATCGTGTATACGGCCACCTTCGTACAAGCTACAGTGCAAACCTAGGCAATGAGAGCCACAATACACGCAGTTTACCATCGTGTATACGGCCACCTGCGTACAAGCTACAGTGCAAACCCAGGCAATGAGAGCCACAATACGCCCAGTTTACCATCGCGTATACGGTCATTGTCCTTCATGTTCAGCAGAGTAGTTGTATACCTGTATCTGCATACGAACTGATTGCAGTGATTGTAGCTATCGATATGCATATTTAAACTTTTAAAACGTTTATTTTTAACTTGGACTAAGTTCCAACATGGGATGTTATTTAAATCAAGTATGTTTTGTGGGTATCATCTTTTACTTCGCCTGTACAGTTTATACAGACCTGTAGCTACATAGTAACTGATTGCAATGGTTACAGCTAACAATATGCATGTGACTTTTAAACAAGTTTATTTTTAACTTAGACTGATTTCCAAAAAGGGATAATATTCAAATCCAGTGTGTTTAGTCAGTATCAGTTGTCATCTCGTTTTTAAAGATGGATCGAAACAATCCTTTTGGGGGGAGAACTATCTACAACAAAGATTTTTTTTTTTCTAATTAGTCCTTTTGTGGAAAGGTTTATTTGAAATATCCAAATCAGTTATTTTGCAATCAAGTAAACAATTGTTATTATGATGTGATATTATTGTTTGGAGCCTATATGTAAAGATCACGATATCAGGATGCATATGCGCAGTTTTACTTCTGCGCATGTCAAACCAAGGATTTGTGGTCATATCATTAGCTATGCGTTGTAAGGCAGCACTGGGTCGCCTGTCTCACCTGGGTCTATGGTACAAGAGGAGCGGCAATGCTAAATTCTGTTTCTCACACTCAGAAGAAATTATATAGGTTATCTGCTTATTGTGAAATGATGTATTGGTGTATTCGTTGTGTATTTTAGGTGTGTATTCTATTCTGGAACAAAGACCCCCACATCTCTTATCAGCAAGTGATGGGTGACAGGGTTTTATGAGAAGTATTTAGTCAATTTTTGAGAACTCTGTTTACAGCCAAGGTTATCAAGGTCACTCTGGAAACGGATGGATATTGTGAAACAATAGCTCCTTTTGCCTGTTAAAATGAGGGTACAAATGCGCAACAACGCCATAACTAAGGTTTCAGACATTGTCCGAGCACAACATTAGACCAGTTCCATGTTATGGGTATAACTGCATGTCAAAGCATAACGTTTATAATCATAACACTCCATACATGTATAGTTCTATTTTTTTAACTTATCCTGCATTACTCCGTATTGCATGTACTGCTGTCTTTTGTCAGAGAGACGAACTGTGTGAGATCCAGCTGCTGAAGAAAGTTGTCCCAACCAATACAGGAAGCAGCGCCCTCTCACAGTCGGCACGTGACCCGGAAGTCATGACGTCACATCAAAACACATAACTGCTTTGTCACCTCCACGGACGAACGTATTTTGTATCCCTTGTGGAAATTAAAGCTTATTGTTTCTATATTTTGCGTGTTTCTACATTCATCGTATGCTGCTACATTGTTTCTTTCCGGCCGCCATTTTTGCCATTCACCAAGTTGCCACGTAATTTCGTGTTCTGCGTTTTGAATTCTTTCTTTAGCTTAGGTTATACATTAAATTTATGTATCATGTTTTATGCTTAAAGCTTTGCCTTTTCGCTACCTTTTAGCGTAATTGTTTGCTCTCAATAAAATACAAAGTTTTTTAGTTACATTGTGCTTCCCGTACTTCGTGGTTTTGCCATATACAAATGTAGTTATGTTTTGCTTGAATTCCAGATTTTCTGCCTCGCTGCACTTGTTGCCGCGGGAACAAATCTGGTCGGGGCCGCCCATTCTGCCGTGATTGTACGACGCCCTGTACTTTCACAACGCAGTGCCGATGTTGCAGTCCTTCGTCACTGTGCTCTTTCAACTCCTTCGACACACCTCACTCAACGACCCCCTGATATGGCTTACAACTCGGAGACTGCGGTCTTTCTACAGCGGCGTCGTCGGCGCTCCCGGCGTCTGAGTTTCTCAGCCATGCTTCCCTGCGCCTCAAGCTCTCCGGCGCCTCAAGCTCTCGGGCGCCAAGATCAACAAGCTGAATATCTCAAACGATCTTCTGCTTCGGCATAAGGGACGCAATCGGCAATTGCCTCTCCGGCGCCACTGACATCTGCTACTATTATTGACATCTCATAGATCGTCACACGGTGAAACCACGTCTTTCAATTGTCGCCGCTCCTGTAGCTGCTCTCCTGTTCGTCTTCGGGATCGTGACTATCGTTCAATTTCCTGGAAGGAATCTTTTCAACCAATAGTCATTTGGTCTGATTCAAATTGCCCACTGGCGACGTTCTCCTTAACCCCGACGTTTAAAGCGCCATGCTTTCGGAAAGATGACCTTCGGGTTTCCATCGAAACAGAGCTTCTGGTCGACAGCGTCTGTATCAGAACTCGCAGATCTTCACTGTTAGGCTCATTAAGCCTGTTTGACCCCTTCGTCATAGGCTACCAGGTACCCACTCGGGATTATAGTTAACTGGCCTCGCATATCACGGTGTATCATATCGCTCTGCACCGGCCCCGCCATTCGACGACGACTGGGGTACACCACTTGTTTGTCTACCACACAGTTCATTGAGGATTGTCTGTGTGTGAAGATTGCACCTCATTTCCGGCTCCAATGCGGTTTTCTCGGCTACTGCGCAGAGTGATTTACATGTCACGTGTCAAGTACGCCGACTGTCAACAACTCCGATCGGAATATAGGTCAACTGACCATGGCGAGAGGTGCAATGTATTTCTACAGATTGGTTTGCATGCTTACATGTATGCATGGTGCAACCACTCAACCAGACGCCTGTCGCAGTCCATCCATGCACAGATGATGGAAACGATAGACCTCCGCTGCCAACACGGCTGTAGCGAGGTACCTCGTTTCAACGCCCCCTCGCTAGAAGAACGATAGCGCCTATACGGCGTTCAAGGGATGAAAAAGATCGCCTTCCTTTGTACGGTTTGATCTTTTAGACTACGACATCTTTATATCTTCAGACTTGGCTACCAGATACAGTGTCGATTTTCTACTTCGTCCCACGACCGTTCCATCGACCCCTGTTGATAACATGCCTAGTATCGTGTTTGTATCTAGTTGTCCTTCATCGGCACCTCGATATAAGAACAGGAGCGCTAATACGACTCTCAGGGGATGGAAACGATCATATTACTTCGTGCAGTACGGTGCGATCTACCCAAACCACAGTTTTACAGACTTCCTCATTCTCTTATGGACACATTGCCTGGACTTCCGACTACCCGGTTACGTCGATGCCTCGGCGGTCGATTGTGGAGCTGGTTTATTTCGCCTACATGGGATATGGGTCGCAGGCGAGCACACCTCTCCATGTATCGTCCCGACGGTACACGATCGAAGACCACTGTTGCTTACTTTTCAACTTCTTGTGGACGACCTCATTTACCATGACTTCCCGCTCTTCCACTGCCACTTCAACCTTGTCAGTGGCTAGTGTTCTCGGATTGCCCACACCAGCCCACGCTGTGACCGACTGTGATCCGGAGATCAACACCACTGGCACAGCAACAGCCTCTCGATAAAAGCGCTTATCCAGGACGTCACTTGCTGGCAGAGAATTCTCGGTCACGCCCTGTTGATCATGTCCATTGACAACATCACCATGGTGTGGTGTTTGGGGAATCAGGGTACTCTCCACTCTCCATCCCCGCTAAACCAGACCTTCCGCTTTTTCGACTTGGTGGTCAGCCTGGACCTGTAATTTAAGAAAAGGTTGAGAGCATGTTCTGGCACAGGTTCTGTCCGGGCCTAACTAGGTGGTTCCCACCGAATGGAAGCTCCACCCAGAGGTCTTCGCCAGACTATGTCAAACGATCGACACCCAAAACATCGATCTGTTCGCCACTTCTCTGAACTGCCAGCTTATATTTCACCGGTGCCGGATCCGGCCGCTTTGGCAATCGACGCCTTCAGTTTTTCCTAGGAAGGAATACACGCGTACGCTTTTCCGCCTCCGGTTCCCTCTCCCACGGTTCTTCAAAGATCCAGGCCACTCGGCATCTGACACTTATTTTGGTCGCGTCTTGGTGGCCGGCCAGAAGTTGGTTTATCGACCCCCGAAACATCGCGAGAGACAACCCCTGGAACTTCCGGTGTGCTCCATCCACACAGTCGGTTGCCACACCTTAAAAACCGAACGGTTTCGTCTGCACGCCTGGCACATCTGCAGAAAGCCCCATGTGCCAAGGGCTATTTGGCTAGAGCGGCCAAGGCTATTGCTTCAGCCCACCGTCCATCTACACGGTGACTGTATGATGATAAATGGTGCTCGTTCCAGGTATTCTATTCAGACAAACAGCAGGATCCGATGACCGTGTCACCGCAGTTCCTTGCGCAGCCCCCGTCGGTTGAAGGGCTCTACCATCTCCACATTCCTGGTCGCAAGCTCCGTTCTTGCCATTCCGGACGATCGGAGAATGACGAAAATTCCCGAACTACAGGCCTGGTCGTTCCGTCTTGAAGACCAGAAGGCCAAGTTCGGACCGCCTGCGTTAGGTCTGAATGTGGTCTTAAACGCTCTTCGGACGGCTCCCTTCGAACCACTCCACACGTCTTCCTTCTACGACATAAGGAAGAAGACGGTGTTTCTACTGGTTTCGGCTACTGCCGGTCGGGGCAATGAGCTCCACGCCCTCGACGTCTCCCGTGTCCGGTTCGAACGCGGTACCCAGGGCGCCGTTCATCATGGACCGTGCTGGTACTTCGTAGTAAAGAATCAACTCCCAGGACAGTCTGAAAGATCATTCATTATCCCCTACCCCCTCGTCCATTGTGGGTGCCGAGGATGAGGAGGCTCGTTATTATGCCCAGTAAGGGCACTGAAGGTTGTTCTACGACGATCTTAAGCCTGCCCCAAGGCTATCAACCCACACGAAATCAGGGCGATCGCATTTACGATGGCTCTTCACAGTATAACTGTTCCATCCATTCGCTCATGGAAGCCTGTTCTTGGCGATCGGACACCGCCTTCGCCAACCACTACCTCCGTGATGTAGCCATGGAAGATGTCGCCGGCGTTCACAGTTTTGGTCCCTGGTTGTAGCCCAACAGGTCACCTATCACCGACGCCACTGATTCTCCGATACCCTGAGCGGGGCCCGTCGACCCTTCTGGTGTTTATCACCCCAGACAAGACGGCTCTCTTGCGTTCCGCATTCGCTCTTAGGTCAGTTTTAGTTTTTGGCTAACCGCCTCATTCTATTTCTGCCAGCTATCCGTGTTTTACTTTTTGCATTAACTCTCGTTTCCTGACGGCAGGAATGGTAGTAGATGTTGACACCGACGCAGACGCCAACGCCGCTGATTTCCCGATACCCCGAGCGGTGCCCGTCGACCTCTCTGGTGTTCCTCACCTCCAGACAAGAGGGTTCTCCTGCGTTTCGCATTCGCTCTTGGAAATGGTCGTAGATATTGCCTCCGACGCCGCTGATTCTTCGATACCCCGAGCGGGGCCCGTCGAACTCTTGTGTATATCACATCACATTAGAGGGCTCTACTGCGTTTTGCTTTCGCTCTTAGGTAAGTTCTAGTTTTTGGCTACCCGCTTCATACTATTTCGGTTACCTATTCGGGCGTTTCCTTTTTGCATAGACTCTTGTTTCCTGAAGACAGGAATGGTCGTAGATGTTCCGGTCATCACTTGTATGCGGTGCGGATTCATCGGACTTTGACGAGGCTTTATTATGGATCACATCTGAAGGTATGCCCACCGGAGAAATCATCACTATTTGAAAGTGATTCATAAACACATGCTTCCCACAATGGGACTTTTTATTTTAGCAGATTATCTTATGCTTATGAAAATATTGTTGTCGCTTTTATTTAACAAATATAATTAAATACGGCCATCCCAGGTGCTGGATGGTCGCCCAAATACCCACCGGCCGCCTATAATACCTGAAAGGTCTCTGCAGCTCAGGTACAGTGGTTTCAATAACACATAACAGTTAATAACTAACTGTTCCGAAAACTCTAGAAAGGTTATGATCCTCTGTTCTATGAAGAGAGAATCACAGTCAGGCTTGTTTTGCTAGGCTGTGTAGATTCACCCATCACAAGGAATAAATATGTATTATGTCTCATGTTTAAAGGATCGTTTAATGATATAAACCCTCATCTTATTATTCTACTTTTTAAAGAAACATAATTAATTGATAAGTTTTGAAACATATGTTAAGAAATTATCGTTGGTAGAAAAAAAAGTCATAACTTGAGATTGGCTGTATCCTCGAAGGGTGTTGAAGTAGTGTAAAATAAATGATATGTAAGACAATGTCATTCAAATTATGCTTATTTCTACCACTATTTAACCGCTGAATATCTGTGTCCCTTAATCTATGGCTAATTTTGTCAACAATCACGAGCAGTTGAAGAGATGGTGTAGATCCTGATGGGGAACCATGCGGGATGCATAAGTACTGTAAGTCCCCATGGTCCCGAGTGTGGTAACCTAAATTTAGTTGTTGATGATCCATAGCTCTTTATGTGTTGTGTCTTCTGTCATAATCTGATAAAAAGTAATATTCTATAGCTAGTTTGAAAGTAAAATTTGCGATCTATTACTTGCTGTTAAAACTATTCTTCGACGACATTTCTTTATATAATTTTAATGCATGGCTTTTTAAAGTCACGATATGGCTGAAATATTGCCATGTGACTTTAAATTTTAACTCACACAAGCACTCTAGTTACCTTAGGCATGACTAGATAAGCCTTTGTCAAAACGAAAAGTACACGTGTGTCCTAACCTTGAAATTTTATTTCCCTCCCAGCTCTGAGGTTTATAAATAGGGTGCACATTTACACTCTGCACACTTGGGGACAGTCAACAAGCACAGTCTGCTGCGAGTCTACCTTCACATGTATTAGGGGCCAAACATCGGAACACAAACAAAGCTCAAAGAAGTTCATTTTGTTGGTTGTCACGAACAAAGACAAAGACAGGTAAGTGTTTGTATTATGTTGTATATGTATGCATTTGACTCCTCTGAGCCGAATCATGATACTATATTTTGAAGCAGGATCAGAGGGATATACTTGGTTGTATGCAACCTGTGTTAGGTTTTGTGCCACGAGCAGGTATTAACCTAGCGAGGGACGCATAAACAACATACACCCCAAGTGGTATTGCCACAACGAATTTATTATACAGACATGTTTCAATCTACTTCAGTCTTATTTGTGCCACGTGACTTTCATTGAATCGTAACAAATTTTACTAACTCACTCACGCGTGGCAGGGTATAAGATTTTTATTCTCCCGCTCAGAAATCCAGCCTGTTTTCTTCGTCAGATGGTATAAGGGATATATTCTCTCGCTCAATTATTTATTTTCCTCCCAGGTCTAAAGCAGTATAGTCGAGCAGCATCAAGAGTGATACATGTCACAGTAATGAATGCGTCCCGCGTTAGGTTTTATACCATGTGCCGGAAGCGAGTGGTATAAAACAACCTCACGAGCGACGCCAAGCTCCTCACAGCAATAGCCCGTGAGGAGCTCTCTATACTATCGCTGCCACCAGTCAAAACTCCCCACTGTGAATAGGTGGCCACAACCATGCTTGGGTTGAACTCGCAACCGAACGACCGTTATGTTTACAAAGTGACGACTGTCGTGACGCCGAATACACATATCGCTGCTAAATTACTTTCTTCGTTTGTCAATTTGAATTTCTGTTTCATTTAAACTATCGTGTTATTGATATAGTAAGAATGTAAGGGAGAAGTTGGTTGATTTTCCGTTAGTCTGCAATCTCGAACCAATCTGATGATACAAACAACAAAGTAAATTCATCTGGAAAACATGGTCAGTCGCAAACCTTTTCAAAATGAAATATGATGGCATTCCCAAAGACATAAACAAAAGTATCAACGTTAATACATTTGGGGTGAGAGGGCAAATTTCAAGATTCTTGTAATGGCCGCGCCCACACTGGTGGCAGCGATGTTACCGAGAGTGTAACGAAGGTGTCACGCGCTGGGAAGGACCTTGGAGCGACGCATGAAACCCCATTTACGATACTGCATCAACAAACTTATCTCCCTGGCATGTTTTAATCTGAGCTGAGTGTCACCGGGTCGTAAAACCAAGCCCGTCATGGTCCAGTGACCTTAGCGCCCTCAACTCACTGCTGCCCGGTGTTCAGTTCGGCCCAGCTGGGTGTTTTTATGTTCATGAGGGTAAAGTTAGAGGATTTGATTTCGTTTTATTCTCTAGCAGTGTAATCTCATACTTTTTTTCATGTATTAATTTGTTTTGTGTGATCTTATAAATGCATACAAGTATATTCACGTATGGAAATGTTTTAAGAAACCAGTAGGTCTGTGAAACTGTAAGTTTGTATCGCTGGACCAAGTAATAATATAATTCAAAGCGTACAGTGACACTTTACAAAAGAATGTGTATGCCTCTAACCACCTTCATAAGGAAGTAATATGTTCTTACGGTGGAATCATATCACTTTCAGATGTTATGTTTTCTGAAATTTCAATTTGTCCGTCATGGGTATATTTCCGTTGTCTGTTTTAGGCATTCACAAGAATCTGTGTACATTCACTGACATTGTAAGCAAGATGTTGACTGAGTTGATACTTGTGACAGCTGTTGTGCTGTTTCTCGCCTACATATATCAGTGACAACGGAAGTATAGCAAGATGCCTCCAGGTCCAAAACCACTGCCAATACTGGGAAATTTCTTCGAATTGAAAGAAGGTACAATGGTACAAGATCTGACCCATTTGGGTTCGCAATGCAATGGCATATTCACCGTCTATATGCTAATGACGCCGATAGTCATTCTGGACAATCTTAAAACTATAAACGACCTCCTTCTTTCTCCCGAATATGCTGACGTCTTCAGTGGAAGGACTAACACATACTTTAGCAAGCATTTGCTACCGCATGATATGATTTTCCAAACGGCCAGTGACAGGCAGCAGTACTTGAGAAAACTTGCCTTTCGAGGAATAAAACAATATGGAACTGCACTGAAAAATGTTGAGCATCATGCTCAAGTAGAAATACAAGAAATGATTAACAAGTGCAGAGAACGAAATGGCGTCTCGTTTGACCCGTGGGAGGACCTGAATCAGTATGTCAGCAACGTGATCTTGATATTGGTAAGTTGTTGACATATTCTGAACAATCCTCAATAGTATCTGTGAAACAATGTAATGATAAGCAATTAGGTCATTGAATAAAGTAGGCTACTGGAATCACAGAAGCCACTGGAAAGTCCGTTTGATCTGCTTCATGGTCATGTGAACTGGCATAATAATGATCAGTTGGATAAACTCTGTGAACTGCCTCATATTGTTTGTGTTTGTCCACAAAGTCTTGGATCACTTCTGCAACATCTCATTACATAGATGACTGTAACAGTCATCCGTGGCCACTCACAACGTGTATATATAATTTCAGATTTGTGGAAAAAGATATGATCCTGGCCATAAGGCACTGGAAGCTTGTTAGAAAATTGCTGCTGACTTTGAGTACCTCTTCAACTTCAAGAATCAGATTTTCATGGACAATGTTCCGTTAAGTACAAAGTTGATGCCGAACCTGAGACGGGCTTGTCAAACTATAAAGGACGGTTACCACTATTTTGCTGAGACTGTTGACAAAATATCAAAGGTAATGCACACAAAACAATACCAAAAATGTTCAATTAATGTCAAGTGAAAGATATTTTAATTTGTATTTATACAATGTACTATGAACACAGGTCAATACAGATATACATTTAAAAAAGCTATTATGGATTAAATATATTTTAGGAATCCAAAGGTACAATGTCCCATTTAGTACAAAGTTGATGCCGAACCTAAGACGGGCTTGTCAAGCTATGAAGGTCGGTTACCACTATTTTACTGAGACTGTTGACAAAATATCAAAGGTAATGTGCAAAAAACATTAGCAGAAATTCATAATTAATTTCAAGTAAAAGATGTTTGAGTGAGTCTGTAGTACAACTAATACTGTAACTACACTGAGAACACATGTAAATACAGATGTTCATCGAATACTGTAATAAAACAGGCAAAGTATGCAGCGCTTTTGGTGATTTCACACTGCTGTTATGGATTTAATATATATTTTAGGAATCCAAGGGTACGATGCCCGACTGTCTGTACACATTGCTTCTGAAAGAGCATGAGGAGGGAAAGATATCAAAGGAAAATGTGAAAGGACTTCTGATAGATTCCCTGATTGCAGGTAATACTTTATAAATAATATTATGTATAGATGACTTTCTAAAATTATATCTATGTTTGTACCGATTGAAATTTGTATATTTTTCTTTTACTGAAGACAGATCATCATAGCCAGTCACATTTAGCAGTACACAGGTGCCAGGTTCTTTAATTCAACTACCATTTTCTATTGTGTGGATAGGTATCTTCACAACAAAACCAACCATGTACACTGCCCTTATGGCAATGGTAAGCTTCCCTGAGGTCCAGAAGAAGATCCAGGAAGAGATCCAGAGGGTGGTTGGGAAGGACCGACTTCCGGGTTTGGAGGACCGGAACAAAATGCCCTACACCAGGGCAGTGGAACTAGAATTATACCGCTACTTCACTCCTGTTGGAGCAGCTGGTCCAAGGAACACTACGCAAGGGCATCCCGAAGGGCACAATGACACGTTTCTGTACTAAATGAAGGACAAAATACGTGAATTAGTTTCCTTTATGACAAATATAGCTTTAACATACACCTTCCCATTTTTTTATACTTTCCTTTGCTCTTGTAAGATTGATACACCTAATAAGATTACCCCGGAATAATGTAGTACAACTATTTTGTTTTTACATTAGGGCATATTGTATTGTTAACAAAATTAACTTGAATCTTTCTTTATGAAGGTTACTTACAACATATGGCGAGTACACCATGACGAATCGTTTTGGGAGAATCCCTTCACATTCGATCCAACCAGATTCTTGGATGAACATGGAAAACTGCTGCCACCGGAGGATGAAAAACGTCATAGGTAAACACGTACAGCACAAGACGTAGTTATGATTCAGGCTGAATGAGTTTGGTTTCACGGCGGCGCTATGAACAGAATTTCAGTTAAATCATATCTATGGGGAAATGAAGGCTTACACACGGACAAGTCCTAGGCGTTTGCCGCATTGATGACATGACTATGCGTATGATGCTGACATACCAATGGGCGAATATTGAATATTCCAACACAAGTTGTTTCTGGCAGACTTCTTATACACAGTCCACTCTTGGACATGCGAAATAACAGATTCATTTATGCCAGGTATTTAAATGAATGTACATAACAAGTGTTTCATTTCATTGCAGACTGTTGACGTTTGGCATCGGAAAGCGATCTTGTATTGGCGAGAATCTCGCCCGAGCAAGGATATTTCTTGGACTGACGTCCATACTACAAAACTTCGACCTGACTCGTGATCCATCGGAACCTTTCCCTTCATCCGACCCCCGTACATACGAGATTACATTTTTCTTAAAACCACCTTCTTACAAGCTACAGTTCACACCAAGACACTGAGAGCCACAATACGCTCACTTTATCACATATCCTTTGAGATTGATCGTAAGTGGTGGAGTTCCCATCGTGAATGCGCCCATTGTCAAAATATTGACAGATGGTCACTTCTTGCCGTTTGTTATTTTCTCGAAAATGTTTCGTTATAAACTGTAAATTTTTCATTTAACTCGTCAATCGAGACTGTTCGTTTCACATAGTGCCATTTTTGTTACTTGACCAGCATGTATTCTTTCGCTTTCAACAGCGGTCTCCAAGTTTTTTTGTTACATTTTTATTTGGTATATAATCATATCTAAATGTATGATAAAGAATTTCCATGACCCTAAATAGTTTTGGATACTTTTGTTTATATTCTTTAAGATTTTGCAAACACGAAAAAAACTACTTTTTAAAAACAAGCGGTAGTGAACCGTCCCTGTGTGCTAGGTAGGGAGAATTTACTTTTCAAGGTTTTACATTTGTAATGAAATAATTTAATTTTCCGGAAGACAACTACACAATAAGTATATAATAATTAGGTTATTCCATGTGTGTCGTGAAATACCATGTTTCTCTCATCTCGTGGCGGGGGAAAAGGAGATACTCCACTCGTGAAAATATCTCCTCCGTCACTTGGTGAGAGAAACATGATATTTCACTTGACTCATAAAATAACCTCTATGACCTCGTTCATATTTATGACATACTTCAGCTGGAGGACTTAATATAAACCACAGTGCTATTCTGTGCAAGTGGTCCATGTACCGGTTATATTATTTCTATCCTTTTCGCAGATCGATGTAGATACGTCTCAAAAGAACACCAAAATGAATGGTTATTGTAACGAACATGATATGAATCAGGTCATCCATCCTAGTTAACAGAAGTAGGAGAAAGAAAATTGACCATTGGATTGATCCGTTTATTCTTATTTCGAATTGAATATATGACGGTAATAGAATTGAGCTATATATAGAGAGAGAGTGTGTATTTTAGAGATGGAGTTTTCATACAAATGCTTTATCTTGATGGACTATATGTATATACTTCTTAAGGAATGTACTTGGCAAATTAACTTGACGTAAATAAAAGCATAGTAATAAGGCAATAAGAAAATATACAGGTAAACTAAACCTGAGAAAAGCCACGTTCCAGAAATCAATTTGATAGCACATACTATAAATAGATTGTATATTTGTCACAGAGCTAATTTGGCTCTTGCCATTTTGTAACACGTCATGTTATAGAGAGAATAAGAAAAGAAATCTACTTTTTACCAACAAGAATATATCTATTACGAATAAAAAGCAAAAAGATCCATAAGAAATGTATTCTCAAAGCAGAGTCCATTGTACATATCCAACTATATCATAAGTATCTCTCTTTAACATTGATGATACCAGGTGCTAATGAAAAGGTGAGCGTATCCTGCCCAACCTGTCGTATCCGTCACAAACACATGCAAAGGCGAGGCAAATACTCGCCTGGAAAAAGACAACATATGATACATGTCAAAATAGGGAATTGAATTGAATTATATTGATCAGTAATGTGTCAAATTTGGAAAAAAAATTACACATGTCTACAATAAAACACTTTGAAAGCAGTACTTGAGGCCTTAATGCTGTGAACCTGATCCTGATCAAACAATATTTTAGCAAGTCATGTGACGTTCTTTGAAATATTCGTACAAAGAACATGCGCGATTGTACCTGTCAAGACACCTTTAGATTGGAGTTGCTGTAAGTTACTTACATAATAAACATGAACAAATTGTCTTATTTTCCTTTTACCTTGTGAACTCGATCATCTCGGCAAAGAGTTGATACGGGGTGTCATAGTGCGCCACCATTGGTGACATTTGTTAATTTACTATTGACAAAAGTGATGACAAGACTAGAGCTGGATGTTGTTATTCTATAGCTAGACATGCAATATTTGGAATGTGAATAATGCATGGTTATTTATTATGCACCTTTCAAACTGAAAACACTCTGAGTCACGGGGTGCGACGTAATGATTATAGCCCAAAGTGACACAGGTCAGAATTGTACGAATTTGGTGACAAATACAAGCACAGTTATAGTTAGGATGCACAACAGTTAATACTTTTTGCGAATGTGGGATCTGAACCATCGACCACAGGATCCTGGCACGGCGTCTTGGCGCTACTATTGTCGGGAATTTCGGCACCGTGTTGTTTTCTGTCTTATGCCCAAAATAAGTGACCTCTTGGGTACCGGGTTGGATTAGATCCACATGTGTGTAAATTGGATCGGTCGGTTAGGCTCAGTGTCTGCGTAAGCATCATACCCCGACGGTTTGACATGTTTCCATGGATGTAATTCCACTTCACTAACCCTTATGCCCTCATTGAGTTTTCATGAAGCAATTACTTATAAAGGTGCATGGCGCCAAATGCAATAAGATGCATTGCACTTTATTGGTCAAGGTCTCCTTGAACGATTAATTTGGCAATACAAATATAAAACGTCAATGTCAGAGAATAACCAGTCTCCAGTATCTATCGAAACAGATGCCATTAGCGTAAAAGGCAAAAGGTGGTGAAAAACATGTATGGATCACTGAAAACAAGGGACCATTCCCTTATCACTGTGTGACGTACGATCCTTTGTATAATGGGGCTACAATTAATCAAGTGACAGAGAGTACATGCATTTAGGCTGCACATGGATTACCATTACCAAGGATACTGTATTGCAATATATCTCAGGGGGCACGGGTGGCCCAGTCGTCTAAGGCGCCGCGATTCGCTGTGCAGAGTTGCGTCCCTTGGGCACGCCAGAAACCTATGATTGTGGGTTCGAATCCCGGTTCGCCCCGATTATGTTTCTAGGTTTGTCAGCACCATACCCGTGCTCGTGGGTTTCACCGAAGTGGTAAACGTCTGAGACCTGCATCACTTCGGGCTTTCCTCCCACATTAAGCTGACACGCCGTGATATAACTGGAATACTGTTAAAAGCGGCGTTAAACCCTACTCACTCACTCACTCACTCAATATATCTCAACTAACCTATGTTCGTTTGTAAGAGGTGACTGAATAGAAGCGTGGTTTTGACAGATTTCTTCATCAGTTAACACACTGTTCTTATACGAGGCATATTTGATATTTGCTGTGCTTACATGCAATGGGTATCTTATTTGGGGCCTTGTCAGTGGGACCAACTTCAAACCTATCATCTAAGGCAGCAGGCTTTGGATCACAGCTGGCTGGGGCTGAATACCTTTATTCCAATTCCGGTTCCTTTTTTCCAGTTTGTTCCTTCTACCAATGACAACAACGACTTACTTCACTCTAAAAGCCATTCAGCGGTTCATCTTCTCTTTGACCAATTTGTTTGACAGCATCCCAAACTAATTTAAAGAAGTGATCCGAGTTGGTAGGAGGCTGCTCCCGATATTTTGGGCCATACCTGAATAACTGACGAAGGTTGTTATTGTCAACAATAGAAAGTCACCTGTGATTATATGTCCAACAGGTTAATAGCAGCATGATGAGTCTTGGCAGCCACAAGTTGTGAAATTTACATCATGGACTACCAACCGCAACACATTCACATAATTGAACATGAGAGAGTGAGTGAGTTGGGTTTAACGCTGCTTTTAACAGTATTCCAGTTATATCACGGTGTGACAGCTTAATGGGGGAGGAAAGCTCGAAGTGATGCAGGTCTTAGACGTTTACCATTTCGGTGAAACCCATGAGCACGGGTATGGTGCTGACAAACCTAGAAACATAATCGGGGCGAACCGGGATTCGAACCCACAATCATAGGTTTCTGGCGTGCCCAAGGGACGCAACTCTGCACAGCGAATGGCGGCGCCTTAGACGACTGGGCCACCCTGCCCCCAAATTGAACATGGTGAAATGGTATTTGTATATGTTGAAACTGTTGGTGGTTCCTGTTGGTGGTTCCTGATATTTGAAATATTAAGACAATTTGTAAAAATAAAGTTTTCTGCCTTCTCCCTAGCTTTTTGAGCATTGTAAAACCATGGTTTACGGATATGTGGACTAGTGGAGGATGTAGGAATAAATTTATCAGCAATTTCATTTAATCCATCCACAAAAAAATACATTAGCATCCGAACCATTAATGGCGGATTTTAATGTATTATTACATAATGTTGCAAAGATCCTTTTTCTTTTGAATAAATCGATCTTGAGGAAAAAGTAGCATCACATGGATTTAGGGATAATTGGAAAATGGCCACTTCCACGTGGAGTATGTAGGTGTCTGTGAAGGATAAATCTAGTGAAATACTAGTATATGCGCCAGTGAGGATGACCGTATCCTTACAAATGCATAAATCATTATTAGAAAAGAATCCCCAAGGAGGCATTAGTGGTACTAGTATTCTCTTTTTGAATTAGTGATAGTACCACTCCAAAATCATCCATGATGACACAGTGCATGGGGAATTTGTCATATACATGTAGTGCTTGAAGGGCAGCCTGCTGAAGAGATATCTTCATGAACAGTTGAACATCTGGATAGATAACCTTGTACCACAGCAAGACAAAACATCATTCATGATCAAAATATTTATTGGATAAATATATATACAAATAATGTACAGTACAAGAAATATGTTACATATAAATGCATATGTGACAAGGGGCCTTCTATAGTAGAGGTGTATGAAACTCCCAGTCATGACATAATAACAGCATCCCATTCAGAAAAGCTAAACTACATTGCATTCAAAACAAAACAAAGTACCATACTCCCATTTACAAAATCTTGTCATAATAATCATAATAATCAAAATCTTTGTAAAACCTTCCATATACAGTCAGTTCCAAACAATCTTGAATAGTACCATAATTTATAGAGGACTGTCTTGTCAAAAGACTATCATTGCAAACAGCCACAGATACAGCCAAATTTTCCATGGCATATTTCCTTTTGACTTGCATTCAAGAGAACAATCCTCACTGTAATTCATGGTTAAGATGGTAAACCTTCACTTTTTCGTTGTCCTTATTTTTTACCTTGCTTTGTATATGTCATAGTTTCATCTTATCAAATGATACTCTTACAAATGGGATCTGTAAATGAGTGGTAGTTAAGACATTCAATCCTTCATGAAGACAGACACAAAATATACATATTTTCACAAAACAAAAGCTTGTGTTTAATTAATGTCGAATATGATTTCTTGCATAGACCATATTTTCCTTGAAGCTATCTAGGTAACGTTCATGCAAGGTACTTAAAAACTTTGACAGATTAGAAGGATTTATTCATATGTTCACTGAGGAAATCAAAGATTCAAACCCTCAAAATACAAAAATAAAGCAGAATGGAAATAGGTTACACAAGAACATTTGCTTGATGATGATGAAATAAGTTTCTATGACAAAGCTACAGTTGAAACAAAGTAAAAACAATAAAGCAACAAGGATGGCTAAATGAAACAAGGAATCAGTTGATGTAAGGTGTATGGTGCTGCAAGACAATCACTTATGTCAACACTTTACACAACCTTAATGCAGGACAGAACCTAACGTCTTCACTTCTTTAGGTCAAGAACAGAGGTAAGGGTATTTCCTAAAGTGACGTAAAAAGAATAACAGACTTAGTGCCACATCTAACAAGTGACCTTTTTAAAGTTAAAATGTTGTTTATATTATTTTGTAACACTCATGTGGCAGTTCAAGTTTGAACTTTTATTCTGTGATATTGAAAATAAAGACATCCAAGTTGATTGAAACCAATACTTACGTAGTTAGTTGCATCATTATAGTGAGTAGGTATGGTTTTATGCCACTTTTGGCAATATTCCAGCAATAACATGGCGGGAGACACCAGAAATGCGCTTCACACATTACACCCATGTGGAGAATCGAACCCAGATCTTTGACGTGATGAGTGAAGGTTTTAACCACTAAGCTACCCCGCCGCCCTGCATCATAATGAGGTAAATAGTATCGTTAGAACTATCTAATAGAAGGTGTTTAACTTTTCCACAGCAAATAATGTATGAGACATTCTTCAGTGATTTTCAATCTTCATATGGTGGCCATTGTGTCTGATTTGGCTTACCCCAAATATATATTTATTGAACAGGATTCATGAATAAATTTCATACAACATGCATTTGGTTTTAAAATGGAATATATGTACAAAGATTATAAGCATTAATAGCATAAATAGCACTAGTATTTTTTTACAATCTAACAGTATAAGGAGAAATGTACACCTGTTGTCATATATTGCAGGACATTGCCATTTCAACATGTGTTCAGTTGCTTGTTATAGTAAATTTATGATTTAACATGTTTAATAACAACACCCTCGGTTTGAAAATATAGACAGCAAACAAATGTGAAAAGGATCTCAAATCTGTCCCTTAACAAGAAATCTTAAATACAGACAGATATTTCCCATACACTGAAAAAGCTGCTGAACAGTTGTAAAATCAAAGGAGAAAGGTTGTAACAGGCATGGAAGAAAGACATCGACAATGAACAGTAATATACCTATTTAGTTTTCCTCCCCCCAATAACTATGCATGTATATATTTTCAAGATACAAATGCATGATATATGAAATAGAATAATTCACATGGAACTGTAACGCGGAGATCAAGTTTAGTCTGTGATAAATATTCACTGCATTAAGCATCACATTATTAAAATATAAACTCTGTGAACAACTAATCAACATATCCAATCCATGTCATACCATCCTGGAAGATTTTGCATAACTTTGAATAAATGTCTGCCTCGGGTTACAGTCTGTTTCGATAACAAATGATAAAACCCATATTCCCCACTTGACTAAGAGATTATACACATGTAAAAAAGTACAGGGGTAGAAATTCACATGCCAGCTAGCCTGATCAGTTCATCTATTGTAAGTAAGTATCCTGATGACTAGCAGAATTTCGTGATGTTAAGGGGTTGTCATGTTATTCCAAACATTTCAGGTTAATTTCTGTTGTTGAAGTGTCTATGATTTGTAATGGCACATCTCTATGTATAAACTATACTGAATGGTAGTCATACTCCCCATGAGATTAGCCTTATTGCTGGTATCCAAAGTGAAAAGGATTTGTTTTTCATTTAATGCCGAAGTCAGCAATATTTCAGCTATATCAATGCTGCTGATAAATAAGTCTGTCCAAACCATTGATCAATAGAAAGAGTAACATCCAACACCACTGTTACGATTACTCTAGCTTTGCAATGTCTTCTGGTTTCAGTGGCTCTTCAGAATGTTCAGTTTCAATTTTTCTAAATGATAATATGAATTTCTTCAAAAAGAAATATAGGTGCTCAGTATATTATCCTTCCACATGGCAAGTTGGCATCTTCAAGTTAATCTGTAATAAATATCATAGCATTTACATCACAGGTAACACAAACTTGAAATCTCAATAGCTCTTCAGACTTATAAATTAAAGGTGTGTAATACTGCAGTCATTTACCAAACTAGGTGTATATTATAACACCAAATCTTCAATCTAAATTGAAAATAGAAACATTTACCAGTCATCCTTTCTGACAAACTAGATACTGTACCACTCAACCTATGCAAGAAGGATATCACTGCAAAGTTTGGCTTCAACAACTAGGTGTAAATACATCACAACAAATCAATACTGAAAATGTCCACTATACATCTCAATCATCCTTTAGGATGCATCAGATATATGGCATGCCAATCATTCTTTAAGATGGCTGTGATATATATGATGACATTCATTCTGTAAGATGGCTCTGACATACTGCAAGTGAATCATTCATAATGGTTGAAACAGCTACACTATGTATATACAGGTATACGGTATCCCTGATAAACCATCATATTGAAGGATAGGTAAAATACATCCATATGTAGAATACATGCATGTACACCCTTGTCAGTGAGCAGTGACTGTGTATCACATACATGGTATGTATATCTCTGTGACAGCGGTATATCAATGCCCTGATGTGGACTGATGCCCAGTGGTTTGGATTACAGGATTAACTGGACATACATTGAGTAATCAGACAAACTCTTTGTGGTTATATGGGAACAAAATGAGTACGTTAAGTACTTTCTATCAATATTTTAACCTAAATGATAGGAAAATGACTACAAACACATTGGCCAGATCATTAATATAAAGATCCTGTGTTGGGGCTATACAGCTTACAGGAATCAGTGCCATGCAACTGTATGACTACACCCAACAACTGACAACAAGCTGCTTACTCTGAGGGATACCTTTTCAAAGTTGGCTTTCAAGTGTGATGATTCAATGTTTTGAGGAAACACAAGTTTGGTAAAGACATGTGTTCCACTTCTTTGCTATCAGGGAAATGTTAAAGCGTTTGACAAGCAAAGAATCATCATGCTGAATCGAAAGTATTTATAAAAACAATAATGTAAATTCCAGAATTATCATATAACATAATTCATGTTCAAATATCATGTGAATAATGTTTCACCTGACCAAGGATAGCTCACACGTCATTGTCATGTCACTACAACCGATGGCAACTGACAAAGGTCAGAAAGATAATGTTTCAACCAAGACAGGTCAATACCAAACCAACAGGACCAATGACACTGCCTGAATGTCAATACCAAGTCACCAGGACCAATGACACTGCATGAATGACAGTACCAAGTCACCAGGACCAATGACACTGCATGAATGACAATACTAAGTCACCAGGACTAATGACACTTCATGAATGTCAATACCAAGTCACCAGGACCAATGACACTGCATGAATGTCAATACCAAGTCACCAGGACCAATGACACTGCATGAATGACAGTACCAAGTCACCAGGACCAATGACACTGCATGAATGACAATACTAAGTCACCAGGACTAATGACACTTCATGAATGTCAATACCAAGTCACCAGGACCAATGACACTGCATGAATGTCAATACCAAGTCACCAGGACCAATGACACTGCATGAATGCCAATACCAAGTCACCAGGACCAATGACACTGCATGAATGTCAATACCAAGTCACCAGGACCAATGACACTGCATGAATGTCAATACCAAGTCACCAGGACCAATGACACTGCATGAATGTCAATACCAAGTCACCAGGACCAATGACACTGCATGAATGACAATACCAAGTCACCAGGACCAATGACACTGCATGAATGACAGTACCAAGTCACCAGGACCAATGACACTGCATGAATGTCAATACCAAGTCACCAGGACCAATGACACTGCATGAATGTCAATACCAAGTCACCAGGACCAATGACACTGCATGAATGTCAATACCAAGTCGCCAGGACCAATGACACTGCATGAATGTCAATACCAAGTCACCAGGACTAATGACACTGCATGAATGACAGTACCAAGTCACCAGGACCAATGACACTGCATGAATGTCAATACCAAGTCACCAGGACCAATGACACTGCATGAATGTCAATACCAAGTCACCAGGACCAATGATACTGCATGAATGTCAATACCAAGTCACCAGGACCAATGACACTGCATGAATGTCAATACCAAGTCACCAGGACCAATGACACTGCATGAATGTCAATACCAAGTCACCAGGACCAATGACACTGCATGAATGACAATACCAAGTCACCAGGACCAATGACAACTCTTGAGTGTAAATACCATGTGAGTAAAACAAATGACAACTCAATGAATGTCAATGTCAAGTCCCCAGGGGCAATGACCAATCTGTTGATATTTTGTTAGAAGAAATGAAGAGAACCTCAAGAAAGTATCTAAAGGAAATAAAATGGTTGAATTACTATGATAGTTTAGGAAATTTGATAAAGGTAACAAACCATTAGTGGTTTTCATAGACATGTTAAACTAAGTGGTAAAATATAATATAGGTAATAAAGTATAGTATGCATACTGATCTGCCACATGCTTAGATTATTTCTACATTCTATAAATATATATATATATATTTCTTCTGATTTAATCAGCATGGGAAGCATTTTGACACATTACTTACACATAAACAGAATATCAGCTAAACAGGTTCACAGTTTGCTTACCTAACCAACATAGGAATCTGAACTTACCAACACAACACAATAACATTGACTGCTGAATTACTATAAATATTTCTAAGATAATGTAGCCAAGACAATGTCATATTTCAATTAAAATCCAGATTCAAATGTGAGTATACATCAATATCCTCACCAGACAAGCTGACAAGAAGCATGATTAAGAATTCCCAGCTTATACCAATTTCGATACACATGCCAAGTCTGATAACTCACTGCACCATGCAAGTTACATCATGTAACTGTCTTCAGTTGTAACAATATATCAACCAAAAACATTTGCCCACACACAAAAACATGCCCACACGTGGATCAGGAATCCTTTCTCTGACCCATGTGCAATGAGGATAATACAAACCCATGCTGTTTAAATCACCAAGAAGCCAACCTCTGATAACAGACATTTCGCGAACACCTGGTGTCATCACTGATTTTCAGTGATCCATTCATGAACTTTTCACAGCAATTTTGCCTTATACGCCCAATGGCAACTGTTTCAGCAGATAGTCAAGACAGGTTATTCCCTGGCATTGAAGTTTGATATTTAGATGAAGAGATCCACAAACAGCTTAATCATACAATGGAGGACTTCCAACAGTGACAACTGATTTTATTTAGTTAGTTTTAACTACTTTTTAGAAGAAAGTGAAAGGAACTATTTTCTACAATTACTTCTACAAAAATCTTATAAACCATCATAATCACTTGACACAACAATTACAATGATAAGCTCAATTGTTTTGTGTATAATAAGGGCTCAACATTAACATACATCCACTAGTCTAAGACAAGTAAAATTCAGGGAGGATCAGCAGCATTTCCTTGTGGATTATCACTTGAACCACTTGGTAGATGACAATGTTTTGCAGACTAGTGAAACAGTCTATTTCTAATCCTGCTTTGTCTCCAACATATCCTGTTACAGTAACAGTCATGGTCAACTCATGATCATGATGATATCTATATATTGAACAAAAACAGGGACCATGAATAATTTGGGGGATATTTTTTCGTAGCGAAGACTTACTTTAAATGTGTATTGTATATAAAAATATTTCATGATCTCCTAACTTTTTTGTTCTGTATATACTATTATCTGCATGTTACATGTCTAAGACTGTCTGTTATCATGGTTATTGGGTTTACATAATCAGGTAAATATGGTCAGACTGCAAGACAGCTCTACATACCCTGATAAGATGTTATAGACACAAAACTGCAAAGTAAGCAAATAATTCACATGAAAATACAAATACCAAAAGCAGAGTAACCACTTTAAGACTAGGATGAAATGTACATACAACAAATGATTCACTGTAAAATATCTGAAAACCAAAGCACGGCAATCAAAGATGAAATGAAACATAACTGCTTAACCCTGGCATGCAAATATAATTCAATGACCACAAAGCAAGCCCACATAATAAACCAAAGAAATGCCATGCAATGAAACACAAAAAACATCATCTTAATATCTGAGACAGTAATTTTCTTTTTATTCTTATAAAATGGTTTGAGGTTTGGTGCCATGACCATATACTATCATGTTACAAACATACAGAAAAAACATCATCTGTTACTTTAACATCATCTCAAACACATGCAGTCAAACATTCTCACATTCATCTCCAAACATCACATCATCAACTAACCTACCAATCTTGATCACTAAAGTTATACATTTTCAATATCTTTTTAAAAGATCATCAAAACACCTACTGGGCTCACTTTTAATGAGATGAACTGAGCTTGTTTTCAATGTAACATTTATTAATGGGCTGACAAGACAATGACCAATGTAACCCTGATACACAAAGGATGTGAGTAAGGCCCCCATAGCCTGCTGTTAGTTTTCTGATGTTAAGGCAGTTAGTGTGTTGTTACTCAGTGATGCATGACTTAACAATATACATCTCATCATTATGCTCAGCATGAGTGTAGGAATTCTTATGAAGCAGACCCAATGCTTGAGAGCTTGATTCGTTCAGTTCTCATGGATGAGAAATGATAATTTTCAATCAAGCAATTCTCCGTCAACATAATTAGTCAAATGTACTGGAACTTACTAATTTTCAAGATACTTGCATATAACAACTTCTTTATTGTTGATCCTGATGATGTTTCATGCTCAACCCACTTAAAAATTCCAGCCAAGGACAAATAGATTGAAAACACACACACCCATCCCATGAGCCAGCATCATGAGCATTCACTAAGTAAATCTGGCATATTATAAATAGACATATTATTTTTATGAGAGAATAATGTCACATTATTCTGTCATGGACTATGTGTCATAGAACCCAGCTCAGGTCTCAGCTCCACTAGAATGGTTTCTGTTATCAGAATTTTTCATGATAATTGCCATCAATATTCAAACTTTCTGAGTCGAGTTGTCTCCCTTCAATTTCCGCTGCATACGAATGCATATACTCATGCTAAACATATTCATCTTGTATGCTATATAATACATATAATACAGTCTGCATCTCACTGATACAGAATAATATATGAGTGTATGAAACACAGCCAGCAATAGTGTGCACTGCCGCCACTGTCAAGCACCAATCCCATGATAGCGATGATGTCACTGTTGTCATGACGACGGGATGTTATTGCTAGTGCCAAGTGAGACACTGCAAAGACAACAAAACAGGGTTAGTAGAAAATTGTTAACAACATATGTAAAGAGACTAAAGAAACACAAGTACGAATGTCAAGATCAAGGGTGTATGATAGGCATCATTTAATCACTCACCCAAAAGTAAAGCTTGTTAACTTGTCACTTAATCAGAAATAATCAGAAATATGCCAACATTTCCATCATGTCCATGTCAGTTTCAATAAAAAGAGAAACTCCTTCTTCAAATGTTCAGTATGAAATTGCATGCTAATAAAACCTTCTGCTACAAGCAACGCATTTAAATTACAGTAAACATGGTAAAACTTCAACCCAACATATCATTTAAGACAATGCGATTTTATGTTATGTTTTAGTTATACGACTATCAGAAATGTATCTTAAAGTATGGCAAATACAATCATCTTATAAGTGTATGTTAAAGTATGGTTGCTACGATCTTCTTAGTACTACGACAATCAGAAGTGTATCTTAAAGTATGGCAACCACGACCATCTTATAAGTGTATGTTAAAGTATGGCTGTTATGATCATCTTAGTACTACGACTACCATAGGTATATATTAAAATATGGCAGCTAAGATCCTCATATTGCCAAGACTACTTTCTGGAACGGGGCCAACGACTACTGATTTGTTGGTGTGAAACCACGGTGCAGTGAACCTTATATCCCCCGAACATGCAGCAGTAATAAGAGATCATGCATACTTTAACCCTTGTCCTTCCTCCATAGTGAGAGTTTATCCTTCTCAGCAATACAAGATTAAATATGTCATGCTGTTTGACTCCCTTCTGTCAAATCTAACACAGAAATAACACTTGAACACTTCATTTCAAAAGCATAGATGTAGATGGTATAAAACAAACATGATAAAAAAAACTTTACCATGTTTACCAAGATAAAATTGTTTGACGAAGTGAGAACATCTGGTCCCTTTCCCCAAACGTGTGCTTTTCTGATTAAACTTTTCATTATTTACATCAAAAGATTACGAACTAGTGCATATAGACATACATTCAGTACTGAAACATTTCTTAAAATCAAAAGTGTGAAACAATTAAAATCTTGCTCAAAATAGGAAGCTTTTATTGTAGATAGTGGATAGTTTGTAGTAATTCAGTGTTAACTGAGGTATGTTGTTGGACTGAAGGAAATCCCAGTGCAAATGACAATGTTGTGAAATATTGACCTCCTGTCTGACCTAGATGTGACACATGACACAGTGTGTGTGACATAGATTCATCGTGATACAGTGATGCATACAGAAGCAAAATGTGGCATAGACTGAATATTCAATGAGTACCTTCGTTGAACACTTACAGTTTAGTTGAATTGACTGAGATGCCACAAATAAGACAAACACACGCTGATTACAATAACATCACAATTATTAGCACATGCACTGCTGGCTAGCACAATGCCACCACAAAATACATGTTACTTCAAGTGCAGTGATGATTACTGGGCTACCATTGTTTTCAATCATTAAGTGCACTTTATACAGTTTCCGTAAAATGACTGAGTAATCTATAGAACACTGGTAACTAAACTCAGAATGACAGATTATCTGCCTCGAGTGAATGAAGGGTTTTAAGTCCCATGTCAAAGACTCAATACTTACATCCATTAACTCTGAGCATACAGTAAGTAATTCCTCAATAATTATTACCTCTTCGTGATTCCAACGACATTTTACTCACTTCCAGTCTCAACAAGGAACAAAGAGTTCCCTTTACAAGTTTCCACTGAGGAACATGATAATGTAATGACTAGTTAATGTCAATCAGGACCTGAAAACGTCACTGAAGACAAGCCTATGCGGCTACTTAAGTTTTCAAGGTAATTATCTCTAGAACTAGCAACCACACCACTCCTGACAATGCTGACTCCATATGTCCACACAGGCTCTGAATCCCCTCAAAATGACATACACATCCTCCTCCCCACCCCAAACACACTCCTTTTGAAATTCCAAAATCCATCACTGCTCAACATGGGTTAAGGGATGATCATGACTCAGTGTATGGATGGTACATTCTACTACTACAATTAGTGACGCAGAATTAAGTATTGTTATATGATAGGGTTGTCACGATGCGACCATCTCCTGATACGATATGTATTGTGTTACTTTGTTCACGGCAATTTTGCATGAATTCTTATATTTCACTGCACATAAACACTATTAAAAAGACTTGAAACTTTTTTAATATCTGGTTTCATATTTGAACAAAAATATGTCTCATTTCAATCAATACTTTATTTCAGATAAAACTGGAGGGTCAACACAGATAGAAAAAGACGAGAAAAGAATTTTGGTCTTAAAACTTAGTATACTCTATATTAATAATGACAAAACTGTTAATAAAATGAAGGTAGGACCCATTTTGCCAACAAAGACATTTCATTGCTGTTTAAATATTGCATGTGTGATTTGATACAGGATTGAAATATGAACCGATATGGGAATTAATATATAAATTAATACAGTTATGTGTATCGCGTATCGTATCGTCTGACAATATTATCGCCATATTGGTAAATTGTGACATCCCTACTATATAAATAATGTCCATACAATCTGAAACACTAAAACAGTACTACATCCTACAAGATTCTACCCAGGTGAAAATACACAGACATGCTTGTTTATGACCATGATGACGGGATGATGTCACGATAACTGTACACACATCACTAAAAACAACATCCAATGTACAAGTAATGTACCAGTTGGATAACCATAGTTCAGAAAGCTTTGATCAACAAGATATTCTAGGTTAAAAACAAGATAAAAAATACCATTCAATATCATTCTCGAAAGAAATCAGAATTATCTTGTAAAAAAATTCAAAATATTTATTCTTTGAAAGCCTTGCTGGTAACTGTTAACAGCTGATCAATGAAATAAAAAAGCTGGTTGGTGTTAAAGTCCATTCACATGCAAACTGTCGTTCATTTTAAGCCTAGTTTACATAACCTATTTTCCCTTTAGGTTAAAAATAATTGCTCCACCTATCAGTTGGGGTATTTAACACCCTGGGGTATTTAACACCCTGGGGTAAATATAAAAACATGATTATATGACCCTCAGGGTACATTATTCCCCCTTGGGTAAACGTGTGCATGTAAACCAGGCTTAAGTTAATCAGCTATTTTACATCATTTCTGTCCAGTACTGAGGTAGGCTGGGACTGACATGAAACAGACAATCCTTTCTTTGTTCCTGAATTCTAATATTGATGACTATTTAGTGTGTGTGATACAAATGATATTTACATGACTGATGATATACAACAGTAAAGGTTGTGCTATATATGTGATATTTCACCTTGTAGAATTGGGACGGTTGGTGACTTGTGGCTGGCCCTGACGAGTGCGAGTCTGACGTTGGCGTGCTAGGAATGACTGACCCAGGGAGCTGTTGACAAGTCTCTCTTCAGCTTCTTTCCTCTGGATTTGCATACCCTGCAAATAATAATGATGATGATGATGATGATGATGATTCGAACATGCGCTCTTGATAAGATTGTATATTGGACGTTATTTTAGAGAGGAGAGTGTCTAGGAGTTGTTCCCCATAGATGTAGCGGGAGAGATATGACAATAGGTATTGAGAGAAGAGGTACAGGTAATCGACATGAGGATTGTGAGAATATGCGGGAAATACCCAGCAGTGCATAAAATGGACTTGTCCGACATTGCCAAAGACAGATTCTATTGTGGGAGTCATCATTAAATAGGGGTAAATATTTGTAAAGCTTGTAGATCTTATCATCCTCCTTATAGAGGCTGAACATAATGTTGATATCTCATATAAGAAAAAAACGAATTGTGGTCATTGTTTATCATAAAATAAAACACTCCCACTCGTTGCTTATTTCTTAAATATAAACTAGACCGATCCACTAAATGTTCAAAATTCAATTTTCGGCAATTTTTTCTCAACAATTTACTGATACATCAATATCAAAATATACAATGACTTTCCTACTGAAGTGATCTAATATTGTTAAAAGTTGCATTAGCAATCTTGCAGTTATTTGTGGCGAGACTCCTGAAAGGCAGCCTATTTCTGGTGATTACACAACAGGTGACATGATGAGAGTATGTTGAGAGAGTCAGAACTCACCAGATTGTACCAGGCAGACACCATCAGCTTCTGTTCCTGGTCTCGTATGTTCCTCGTCTTCTCACTCTCCTTCTGCAATACATGAAACATGGTCATGGTTTTCTCCATCGCTGTGGCTTGGTGTGTTCATGATGTAGGGTTGTACACCACTTTTAGCAATATTGCAGAAATAACACAACAAAGATGCAAGGAATGGGCTTCAAACATTGTCACGATGCATTTTTAACATGACAAGAGACCACATGAACCAATAGGCTACCCCCACAGTTTTCTCCCACACAGGTATTGGTTCAAATATTTTCATCATTCTGTGAAGCTTTTCACTTTTTGAAACAATACATGTTCTGTTTTTCCGTGTATAATCGTCAATTATAATGAACTAAGAGCATCAGTACAAAACCTATTTTAAATCCAATTCCCCCTGTCCTTATGAGAGTGTTGCTACACACCTCCATCTGTGATATCTGCCTCTCCTTTTCTATCAGCTGGTTCCTCAGCAACTGAAGCTCAGGAGCATCGCCATCCATCTTCTGCATGCTGCTCATCTCAGACACAACCTGCAGCAGACACACACCATCACAACAATCTAGAACCAGACCGTATCTGCAGCAGACACACACCATCATAACAATCTAGAATTGGAATGTATCTTCAGCAGGCACACATCATCACAACAATCTAGAACCAGACCGTATCTATAGCAGACACACACCATCACAACAATCTAGAACCAGACCATATCTGCAGCAGACACATACCATCACAACAATCTAGAACCAGACCATATCTGCAGCAGACACATACCATCACAACAATCTAGAACTAGACCATATCTGCAGCAGACACACACCATCACAACAATCTAGAACCAGACTGTATCTGCAGCAGACACACACCATCACAACAACCTAGAACCAGACCGTATCTGCAGAAGACACATACCATCACAACAACCTAGAACCAGACCGTATCTGCAGCAGACACACACCATCACAACAACCTAGAACCAGACCGTATCTGCAGCAGACACACACCATCACAACAACCTAGAACCAGACCTTATCTGCAGCAGACACACACCATCACAACAACCTAGAACCAGACTGTATCTGCAGCAGACACACACCATCACAACAACCTAGAACCAGACCGTATCTGCAGCAGACACACACCATCACAACAACCTAGAACCAGACCCTATCTGCAGCAGACACACACCATCACAACAACCTAGAACCAGACCCTATCTGCAGCAGACACACACCATCACAACAACCTAGAACCAGACCCTATCTGCAGCAGACACACACCATCACAACAACCTAGAACCAGACCGTATTTGCAGCAGACCCACACCATCACAACAACCTAGAACCAGACCCTATCTGCAGCAGAAACACACCATCACAACAACCTAGAACCAGACCCTATCTGCAGCAGAAACACACCATCACAACAATCTAGAACCAGACCATATCTATAGCAGACACACACCATCACAACAATCTTGAACAAGACCCTATCTGCAGCAGACACACACCATCACAACAACCTAGAACCAGACCCTATCTGCAGCAGAAACACACCATCACAACAACCTAGAACCAGACCCTATCTGCAGCAGAAACACACCATCACAACAACCTAGAACCAGACCCTATCTGCAGCAGACACACACCATCACAACAACCTAGAACCAGACCATATCTGCAGCAGAAACATACCATCAAAACAAACTAGAGCCAGACCATATCTGCAGCAGACACACACCATCACAATAATCTAGAACCAGACCATATCTGCAGCAGACACACACCATCACAACAACCTAGAACCAGACCCTATCTGCAGCAGAAACACACCATACCAACAATCTAGAACAAGACCATATCTGCAGCAGAAACATACCATCACAACAACCTAGAACCAGACCCTATCTGCAGCAGAAACACACCATACCAACAACCTAGAACCAGACCATATCTGCAGCAGAAACACACCATCACAACAATCTAGAATTGGAATGTATCTGCAGCAGAAACACACCATCACGACAACCTAGAACCAGACCCTATCTGCAGCAGAAACACACCATACCAACAATCTAGAACAAGACCCTATCTGCAGCAGAAACACACCATCACAACAACCTAGAACCAGACTGTATTTGCAGCAGAAACACACCCTACCAACAATCTAGAACAAGACCGTATCTGCAGCAGAAACACACCATCACAACAACCTAGAACCAGACTGTATTTGCAGCAGACACACACCATCACAATAATCTAGAACCAGACCATTTGTCTTTGTGTGGACACATGATGTTCTTCCCTCAAACAAGTGGCAAACGATCAAAACTGGGCCAGACAAAGTAGCAGTTGGGGTACAATAACACAGAATTAGCTTTGACTAACATTATACACACTTGACCCTTATTATCTGTTGGTAGTCACAAGAAGTACTTGGGACGACCTATTTGGCCCCGGAAATCTCAGGGTAAACAGGCAAAGACAGGCTTCTTACAATTTTGGTAGGAGTGCTTGATAGTTTGAATGCTGTGTACATATTCTGAGCAAAATTTGTTAAAGATCATAAAACCTTTTACAAATATTTTGAAGACCGAGCACACAATTTCATATATAAATATCCTTACTTTTTTTGGTTCAGTATAGTTCAAAGCAGTGATAACTCATTACCTTTATCTATAGGGTATGGCTACCCAGTATCACACTGGACACACTGACCAAGGTAACAAGTCCACTTTCAAGTTTTGACAGATCCAGAATTCCCTTTTCACAAAGGTTGTCTACACACCTGTTTGGCCCTCTCGAGGTATCTGGTGTATCGTTCCTCCATCGTCTTCATGTCGTCATCCTTCTTGTTGAGTTGTTCCTGGAGAGACAGCACCCTGTCGGCGCCAGCGCTGACCTGTCCCTGCAGCTGTGCCAGCTCACGGTTACGCTGACCCAGCTCCGTGGTCTGACTGTCCACCTTCTGCTCCAGCTCGTTGATCTTCTTATGCAGCTGTATGACCTCGGTGTTGGAAACACTGGACAGCTTGTTGTCCTGGAGGTCCTCCAGCTGCGCCTCAAGCTCCAAGATACGCTGGTTCCCTATCCTACAAATAGTACAATGTCAGATTATCATATCCACTGAGATAAGACACTGGCAACACACTTACGCAATATGCCACATTTATTACCCAGAGGGTTAAAAATAAATGAATTCATAACAATCGTATGTGCACTTGTGCAAATATCACTTCTCACACACAAGTGTATTGTTTCAGTCATCTGAACATCATTGTTGAAGTCATTCGAATCTTATTGTGATGTAAGGTAAGACGTAAGGTCACACTAGAAATGATGTCAAAGCTGAAGATTGTTGACGTCATTCGACAAAATGTTGTTTGCTTGGACAGCGGTGGTGATAAGTGCATTTTTCTAAAGGGGAGCTCAAAAGGATTAAGAAATAATGGATAACAAAGAAATTATTACACTCACATGTGTGACATACTGATTTTACGAAACACATGTAAGAATTAACCTTCATTCTTGCTTGGGAAATACAAGAATTGACACTCTTTATGACACACTTGCTCTTATAATAATCTCTATTTAGCACCTTCAGCCGTACATGTATCAAATCTATATGACAATGATCACAGCAACGTATTATAATTATGTCTGGATATGAACCCGGTTCCACAAAGTGACCTTAGCACTGAGGTGATCAGAACTCCCATACTTTAACACAGACCTTCGGCAGTTGTAGCACTACCATCACTTTGTAGAAATCTACACAAGCAGCTGATAAGCACACAATGGCAGGTCACACACATTACTGGACACCAATAATACCCTGGAACCTGGAGGTTCTGTACCTTTATTGTAACATTGCACATTTTATTGTAGCAGGTAGGTTAGATAATTGATCTGTTACCATGGCTACTGATACCCACTGACAGCCCCCTGGATAACATCTTAGCCAGTCATTCAGAGCCAATATCTAAATAATTCTAATAAGTGTAAGTGCTGTCAGTATCTTGGGAAATACATCAACAGGCAACATCAGTTGGTTGAATGTTAATCTTGGATTCATTTCCCTTGTCAGACTCACCTGACTTCTGTCTCTAGCTCATTCTTCCTGGCATTGGCATCGTCCAGCATCGTCTGTATCAACTGTGTCTGCTCATCCTGCGTCCCTGCCGACCCCATCGTCAACATCCTGTTCTCATGCTCTAGACGAAGTAATTTCTCCCTGGAAATTTTTACAAACCTGTAGAGGTTATGAATTCTCTGATGAAATCCTCCTTGGGGCACTTATTGCATTTTCCTTGCTCAAGAAAATCTATATGACATAGTTGTAACCATTTTCCTTAATAAAAAATGTTACCACACAAAAAACTTCGTTTTTGTATGATATACGACCACCCTTACGGGGCCTCACCCCCAACGGCGCCTCACGCCAGGGGGAGCAACTCTCACCCAAATCACTTTCCATATGTCAAATGCTGACGGAATGTGGGGAGGTGGGTGGCCGTGCCCCAAGGAGGATTTCATCAGAGAATTCATAACCTCTACAGGTTTGTAAAATTCTCTTTCTGATTAAATCCTCCTTGGGGCACTTATTGCATCAAGACAGACTCCCAAAGATAATCTAGGAAGTGGCATCCGTCAGCAACAGGCGTAAATAAATACATCGTATTTGATTATTCAACAGAATAAAATATTGAGTTCAATAAATGGAACCAACCTTATCGTGAGGCACCACCGTCGAAAGGCGGGGGCTAGAGACAGGGCGTGGTCGACCATATATTATGATAAAGCCTGTTTTTGCGGCTTGTCATAAGTTGAGAACTCGAAACACCTCCCACCCCCCCCCCACACTTTTTTGAACAAGTGATATAAGGGCGTAGATCACGAGAGACCATAACCAGCGCTGAGCTAGGCCAGAGGGTCCCCGAGGATCGAAGGAGTGCGTGCGCAAAATACGAGTATTATCGAGTAGTAAGGACTGATATTTATCGACCGCAGAAGATAAAATCCGGACCATTACTGAGCAGTATAACCGGAAGACTGTCTAAAATCTCGAATGCTCAATCAGCTAGAGATTAGAACTTTGCCCAGTTCGGAGAACTGACTGACCAAACCGAGTACGCTCGCTTGAGTGTTTGTCGAGTTGGTAAGGTTTGATGAATCGTGCTCGGCTGGCTCCAAATAGCCGCGGAGCAGATCTGCTCAATGGGCAGAGCCGCGGCGTACGCTTTTGACGCAGCCACTGCTCTAACCTAATGAGCCTTCAACCTGGTAGGGGGGTCCCTGCCTGTAAGCGTATACGCTGTACAAATGTTTGAAACTATCCACCTCGAGATAGATTGTTTACTCGCAGGTGAGCCAACCTTCCTACCGCAGTAACAGCAAAATAGTTGGTTATCCTTACGGACACCCATATTTCTGCTGATATAGGCCTTGAGAGTCGTGCGGACATCCAAGACATGAGCATGTCTTGCAGTGGTCCCCGACGAGGAAGGCTGTGAAAGAGCGGGTAGCTCAATAGGAGCCGTTCACGTGGAATCGTGTGCGACCCTAGGACGGTAATAGTCCGGTAGACGAAAACTGACTGTCCCGGTGATATTTATCGACCCCATGGAAGACAGTTATTTTGGGATCGGCTGACATAACACGAATGTCGCCTACCCGTCTGCCGGACGTTACCACCACAAGGAACGCCGTCTCCCAGCTCAACAGCTGAAGAGAGAGAGACGACAGATCCCGAAAGGAAGGACCGGACAGCCAATCTAGAATGATTGACAAGTCCCAAGGGGGACTGATCCGCCGGACTGGCGGTCGGATCCTGTCCACACCTGCTAAAAAGCGCTGCACTAATGGGTGTGCACCCAGAAGTGCCCCGTCGACAGGGACGTGAAAAGCTGCGATAGCTGTAGAGTACCCTCGGACTGTTGATGCGGCCAGGCCGTCATCTAGTCGCGACTGGAGAAACTCAAGCACGGATACGAGATCTGCAGAAAAAAGATCTGCAATCCCTCTATCGACACACCTGGGCGCATAGCAGGCCTATCTATCGTACTGAACGTTTGTCGAATCCCTCCGCGAAGCCAGTATTGTGTCTGCAACTCGTGCAGGAATACCGCTCTTCTGGAGGCGATTCCTGACAGTGGCCAAGCCACCCATTGAATCCTGAGATTCGGGTGGAGGGCCCCGTTCTGGGATAGGAGGTCCGGACGTAAAGGTAATATAACAGGAGGCTGAGCCAGAAACCTGAGTATTACTGGAAACCCACTCTGCGCCGACTAAAGAGGTGCCAGGAGCACAATTAGTCGCGCAGGCTGAGTGCCTAGCTGAGACAGGACCTTGGAAATCAGAGGTACTGGGGAGAATGCCCACAGAACTGTCCGTCCAATCTAGCTGAAAGGCGTCCGGTGCCACCGACCTCGGGTCGTGGACTCGGGAGCAGAACGTTGGTGTCTGGTTATTTAACCCAGACGCAAACAGATCCACCTGTAACGACCTGTATAACAGGGAGAAAATCCCGAATATCCCCGGGTCGAGCCTCCACTCGTGAGGAGCGAGGATCCGGCAAGACAGAGCGTCCGCACGGACGTTGTCCACCCCCGGGAGATAAACAGGTAGCACCCTGATATCGTGAGAGTCGCACTATAGTAGGAACTGCCACGTCTTTCGTCGAAGCGACGGAGACGCCGTTCCCCCCTGCTTCCGGATGTAAGTCATCGCCGTTTGGTTGTCCATCTCTAGACGAACCACTTGGCCACGAAGCAGATCCGGGAAGCGTTGGAACACCAACCTGACCGCTCTCAGTTCTAGCACATTGATATGCAGTTTGATCTCCTGCTGGGACCATAGTCCCGAGGCAGTGTGATCATTCAGAACGCCTCCCCAGCCGGAGAGTGACGCGCTGTTTGAACTGTGAGAGACGGAACGGGAGTGATTCCCGACCTCGGTCCACCACTGGAGGTGTGTAATGAGCCACTACGGAGTCTCGAGCACAGTCTCGAGATCTTCCGAGTTCGCCCAAAGTCGACGGAGTGCTTGTTGAATGGGACTCATTCTCAAGCGCGCCCGCCAGACCAAATCCACTGTCGCCGCCATGTTGTCCAGTAACTGGAGCCATGTACGAGCAGTGTGACTTGCGCTTAAGGGACTTGATATCTTGTGACAGAGATACACGTCCTCTCACCGTGTTGAAATTAGCCACTAGATTCTGAGTGGGGCTCAGATCTGACTTCTTGAGATTGACCATCCACCCTAGAGTGATCAGAATATCTATCACTTGTTGTGTAGCTATCTGACTCAGGGATTGCAATAGAGCTCTTAGTAACCTAGTCGTCGAGGTACGGATGGCAGAACCGACCTTTTGACCTGGCCACTTGGGCGGGAATCAACATCGGCTTGGTGAACACCCTCGGGGCCGTGGAGATCCCGAATGGTAGAACCCTGAACTGATAACACCTCCCGTCGAAAGAAAACCTCAGGTATTTCTTGAACTCTGGATGTATTGGTATGTGGAGATTGGCTAACGTCAATAGACTTAAAATACGCCTTTCTCCTGTCTCGACAGTTGAGATCACTGTTTGGTGACTAGGAAACAAGTCGAGTAGAAGCCCTCGCTTTCCTGTCCCTCGGGACCCGGTTCGATCGCAGCTTTCATAAGAAGTGCGTCGACCTCGGCACGGAGGAATTCCGCCTTCTCTCGGGTAGCAGGCACCGGTGTGTGCTTTATCCCGGAAAAGTGGAGGAGCGGATGAGTTTTCCCGATAACTTGCGACTATGGGTTCACCCGGGGCTCTTCGGGCGCTAATGGGAACCCATCGTTCCCAGCCCCGCGAAAAAGCTGTTGGCCTCGACCAGCTGCCTTGCCCCGGCCCGTGCCTCTCTTGCTCCTCACGGCGCCCTTATACCTGAAGGAAGCGGCGGCTTCCAAGCAGGTGTGGACGTCTGACCCGTGCGTTAGCGTAGGAGGGGACAATTGGAGAGGCCCGCTTACGCGGTTTTAACGCTTGGTACCTCCAACAAGGCCTTATGAGTCTTTGATGGAAGTATACAATTGAGCAGCCTCTCGGACCGCCTGCTGAGCCCCAGGGAAGAGGGTGGCACCCTCTTATACGGCAAAGCAAGTAGGTCTTGGCGTGTGTAAGTCGAGTATTTAGATACCGACATCCACCGCCTGCGCATGCACATAACAGCGCACATCATCTGCGATGCACAGCTACGAATAGCGTCCCGCGCAAGATAATGTTAGTTGCGCGGCCAACTCCGAAGAGTCGGCCGGCCCCTCTCCCGCTAACTCCCTCTGTACAGCCGACAGATACGCGGAGTGTACGGACACACGGAGCTGTTGGCATGCATTATGATATTGCTCCTCGAAGCATATGTAAGCAGCCTTCAACTCCGCACCGCACACGGGAAAGGGGGGGCAACCGCCGGCCCTGCTTGACCTTAGTCAAGTTGGGTGTCTCCGACTCTGGCATGGGCGCAGCAACCTGAGGCAGTACATGGACAATCCTGTCCCGCACGTGTCTCTGCACCCGGCCCGAGGCCGAGTCCCGGTGCCGAGGTGCCGGAGGTTCAAGGGAACCCACCTGGCACTGGGCTAGGTATCCACTAGTGAAAGCCTTGGCCTCGGAAGAGGCGTCTGGCTCCGCTAGGGTAAATTGTGCGTCGGTAGTGCACGGGCCGGTGCCCGCCACCACTACGCTGGGGAGCGACCTCGAGCCGGAGCCGAAGCTCGGTCTCGGATCGTCCCCGAGACAAAGGGAACCAACCTGGCTCCGGGCTAGGTATCCACTAGTGGACGCCTCGGCCTCGGAAGAGGCGTCTGGCTCCGCTAGGGAAAATTGTGCGTCGGTAGTGCACGGGCCGGTGCCCGCCACCACTACGCTGGGGAGCGACCTCGAGCCGGAGCCGAAGCTCGGTCTCGGATCGTCCCCGAGACAAAGGGAACCAACCTGGCTCCGGGCTAGGTATCCACTAGTGGACGCCTCGGCCTCGGAAGAGGCGTCTGGCTCCGCTAGGGAAAATTGTGCGTCGGTAGTGCACGGGCCGGTGCCCGCCACCACTACGCTGGGGAGCGACCTCGAGCCGGAGCCGAAGCTCGGTCTCGGATCGTCCCCGAGACCAAGGGAACCCCCCTGGCTCCGGGCTACGAATCCACTAGTGAAAGCCTCGGCCTCGGAAGAGGCGTCTGGCTCCGCTAGGGAAAAATTGTGCGTCGGTAGTGCACGGGCCGGCGCCCGCCACCCCTCCGCTGGGGAGCGACCTCGAGCCGGCGCCGAAGCCCGGTCTGAGATCGTCCCCGAGACCAAGTTGCCTGCCTCGGCCGACGCCGGGCATATCACAAGGTCTCGAAGCCGCGTCCGGCGCAGACAACGGGGAAGGCTCGGTCCGCATCTCCTCTCGGAGCTGAGACTTTACCTCCTCCATCATCGACGCCATCTGCGACTTAAGTAACGCAGAAAAGTCTGCCAAAGACAGTGCAGGAGAGGGTGCAGTGCTTACTACGGGGACCCTCGAGCCTTCTCCCCCGGCCCCCGGAGAGGGAGCGGGGGAGACAATCTCGGCAGCTTTTTTACCCTTTTTAGATGGGGAGGGGGGGGATGTCTTAGTAGATCTGATATCTACCCCCGCCTTTAATAGACCTCTTTAAAGTGGAACAAGTCAACTTGTCTCTTTTGGGGGCCCCGGGGGGTAAAGGCAATGTCCTCCGCCAGACATATTCGGCAGCGTTCGTGCCTGTCTTAGAACAACCCGTACACAGTTTGAAGGTCTTGTAAACAAGACCGTAATTTCTGAGGTGGGCGGGAAGGGTATCAACGTGTATCAGTGCGATATAAAGATCGGAAAGAAACGTGCATAAATTGTGAAACTAGAAGCAAAGGCGTAATGTAGAATGCGATTTGTAACGCGATACTAATAGCCAATGTGTAGTATAATTATAACACCAAAGGGGCGTGTTACGCGCTAAGGTGTAAAAACCCGTAAAAAAGGTAAGTGTAGTTTATGAATTAACACACCACCTTGGGTTTTGTAAAGGAAAAAATTGTAGACCAATGCTGTATGATATAACAAAACCCCAAGCCGTTTCTTAATGGCCTTGGTGTTACATGTATCAGCCCGTGGAACTACAATATGGACGCCATTACGGCCATTTGAATTCAAAGGTACCGTGCACGTGGCGTATTATTACAACTCTATAACTTCACAATGCGAGGTATTACGCCTTTGCAAAGAAAGAAATGTACCATACATACAGTTTGGTCAGCCATGGTTCTTGTCGAACGATAGATTTCTCTTATTTTTGTCTTGTGTGAAAAATCAACACGTCTGTCTCTTACAGATGACATAAGGAAAGTGATTTGGGTGAGAGTTGCTCCCCCTGGCGTGAGGCGCCGTTGGGGGTGAGGCCCCGTAAGGGTGGTCGTATATCATACAAAAACGAAGTTTTTTGTGTGGTAACATTTTTTATTAAGGAAAATGGTTACAACTATGTCATATAGATTTTCTTGAGCAAGGAAAATGCAATAAGTGCCCCAAGGAGGATTTAATCAGAAAGAGAATCATAAGTATTAATTATGCTAGGCTCCAATTTCAATGGTCAATGAACATGTCATCATACTCTATCACAACAAGTTGGAGGCTGCTTTTAAGCTACATTCACCACTACCAGAGGAGTCTAAGTGTATGACCGAAACTGTCTGCAAGGTGCTTAATGGTTTGCATTCACATTACCATCTCAATATTATACAGTATTCACAGATAAGAGACAAGAAGCACAGTTTGGACAATGTTTTTAAGAACACACCACTTTTACACTATTGTTCATTGTCAGGCATGGACACATTAGCCTTAGAATCTCTCATGAGTCAAAATTTCTGAGGATGGTGAAGAGAACAACCAACAGCAAGGAACATCTCATCACAATAAATGAAATCCTGAATTGTATCCAGTGACATAACACTTCAAGAATTATTCTAATTCCTATGGCCATGGTCACTGTTTGTTTTTTGTTTGTTTTGTTTGTTGTTTAATGCAGCACTCAGCAATATTCCAGCAATATGACGGCGGTCTGTAAATAATTGAGTCTGGGCCAGACAATCCAGTGATTGACATCATGAACATCGATCCACGCAATTGGGATACAATGACATGCATCAACCAAGTCAGCTAGCCTGACCAACCCAATCCAGTTAGTCACATTTTACAAAAAGTATACAGTCGTGCCTCGTTTATACGGACACTTGCGTCATTTCACAATTCGTCTGTATAAATGAATTTCCGTATAACTGAAACCAGCTTCTTACTGGAAGAGTTACTTCCCTTCAATTATGCAACTCATGACAGATGACAGAGCAAACAGATACATCCACTCAATCTTTACTCAAGACATACACGTTTCAAAAAATCTGTCATGGAAGTTAACTTAACTTTCACAAAACCGTCTGCATTCGCACACAGAGCCACACTAACACGCTCCTTGGATCGTTTCGTACCACTAACAGGCTTGGATTACATGTACAATAAACAAGCTCGTCTCAAACGTAACTCAGTGTCACTTGGTTACTTGACTTCTCACGAATCAAAGGATTACCACCAACGGAAGTGTATTGTCCGGGTAAGTGAGACAATTTTGTGTGCATTTCAGTGTTTTGTGTATGAAAATGACCATTCGGTTACGGAAACTGAATTTCCGTATATACGGGTAAATATATATAGTAATTATTTCGTTTTGAATGAAAATCGTCAGGGAACCGAGGTTTCCGGATATCTGAAGTCCGTATAAGCGGGGCATGACTGTAGTCGCTTTTTATGGCAAGCATGGGTTGCTGAAGACCTATTCTACCACGGATGTTCACGGGTCGCCATGGTCACTGTGTAGTTGTAGTCAGCATATGGCATTCATTAAAACCATTATTATTAGATCCATACAATGTATTATTTTGATGAAACATGTCAGATGCTAATTTGAAAAAAATAAAATATTTTTATCACTACATAAAAATACTTTAAATCATGAATCTTTTAAAGGATAACAACTTCTTTAATCTTTGTAACAAAGTTTCAGGGTTCCTTCTTGCCCTGAAACGTTACAAAGAATAATAAAAATATCATGACTTTTGGTTTGTGTTGTAAACACTTCTAATGACTATCATGGACTTCATCACTACATTCTTACTTAATTTCTGGAGGTATTGAAAGCATTTCCATGCGATGCGGTGTGGATGCCAGGTCTGGTAGCTCATTATTCCCGGCCACGATGTCCGGCACCTGGAACTGGGTTGTACATTTCAGCTCCTCATTCATCTCTTTGAGGGAATCCCGCTCAGTCGCTATTCTCTGGAGGGGAATGCATGTGAAGGTTGAACAGTAACAATCATCATTCCATTATCTACATTTAGAAGAGAAGTAACAACAACGGATTCATAAAGCATCTAAATTCCATGAAAAAGGTGTTTGTTTGTTTGATTGATTGATTGATTGATTGATATTCCAGACATATGATGACAGTCTGTAAATAATCGAGTCTTGTCCAGACAATCCAGTGATGGACATCATGAGCATCTATCTACATAATTGGGATACAATGACATGCATCAACCAAGTCAGCAAGCCTGACTATCCGATCCCGTTTGTTGCCTCCTACGACAAGCATTGTCACCTTTTATGGAAAACATGAGTTGCTGAAGACCTATTCTACCAGGGATCTTCACGGGTTCAAAAAAGTGTTCAAAATACATCAATGTCAAATTTATTATTGTCCATTAGTTGTCAAAAATTCTGCAGAAAGAATATTTAGCTTGTACTAATAGGGTGACTTGCAGCGGTGGTCCTGAATGAAATGGATTTTGTGTAATACAGTATACTGTACAAAAAGAAGTAGATTATCCATTCAATTTTGTCCAACACTTAAAAACTGTAAATCTAAAAATTAATGCATAACCAAATTAATGTGTGTGTCAAACCCTAGCCTAAAACGTGTAAATAACAAAGTGCTATATGCCACTCTGGAAGATGTTGAACTAAATGAAAGACGAAGATTGTACAAATGTACAGTCGTCAACAACTCACATCTCTCTCACTCTGCAATGTAACCATCTTCTCCTGCACCCTCTTGAACTCAAACTCGGCCTTGTCAGCTCGTTTGATCTCATCTGCCAACTTGCTCTGCAGCTCATGGGTCTGGATCTTGTACATCTCCAGCTGCTGCTTCAAGGAGGACGCCTTACGTGCATCCTGACCGGCAACACAAACAAGTTCCTTCAACTCATACAGATAGGCTGGAAGCTGTACATGATCATATGGCATTTCACGATCATAGCTTATTGTCATAGTATCTCAGGGAGTAAATGAGTGATGTCAAGTATGCTTGAACAATATTCAGGTGGAGCACTGAAAGTGAAGGGACACAACTCTGTATGACGAATCATGTTCCTGGGTATCAGTAGGAAATCATTTTTGAGAGGAGAAATTGATTTTGTTTTAATCAATGTACTGTATCTATTTCTTGCATTGATGACATCTTTTTTTATAAGAAATAAGAAAGGCTGGTCCAACCCCATCATTTGCATGACTGCAAAACATTATGATATATCATGTTCGTTTATTGAATGAATAGACTTTTGTTATTATATAAGACAATAAGAGTTATCTCCTCTTGTTTCAAACACTTGGACTAAATGATCAAATGATCACGGCCGTCATATACTTCTCAAAAGTAGAAAAAGAACACCATATGTCTTCATATGACTATAGTAAATCTCTCTGTGTGTCTGGGAGGTGGGGGGTCTGGGGCAAGGGGGTCCTTGTACTCCGGACTTATGCCGATTTTATAGTGCTGGCCCACTGAGATACCATAACGTAGTTGGACATGAATACCCCACTCAGATACCCCTGACTCCTGACATCCAGTCCTTGTTTTTCCCCCTTAATGCTCAGTGTCAGGCAGGGTAGGGGCAGGTACCATCTTTTAACATCTTTTAGTATGACGAGCCCGAGGATCAAGTCCCCGACCTTCCATCTCACGGCAGACGCTCTACCACTAGACCCGGAGGCGGTCAACAAGTTACATATATTGCATAATGACTGAAGACAACGCCGACTGTAACCTACCTCTTGTAGTTCTAAATGCTCTTGCATATATTTAGTATTTTTCTCTTCTAACATTTTTATCTGTCCTCGTAAATCACTCATGTCCTCTGAAAGTAAAACAAAGGTCACAAATTATTACATCATCAACCTGGTCGATATACATGATATAGTTACTGCTTGCAACAAACAATACAACATTCATACCAAGGAAGACAAAGTGACTAAAGACAATAATCTTTTTAAATAATACTTTCATGATAGCATGAATCCTTACCCAATTTCTTTTTATAGGACTCAATTGTTGATTCGTATTTGGCCTGAAAATAAAATAAACATCATCAATGCATCAGCGGCAGCATTCATTAAATACGAACAGACTGATGAGCAGGATAGGAAATGGAACAAGAGAGTGAATTTCTGATGTCTAAGGCAGCCAGCTACCTCTATATTCATGAAACAACTAATGTTTGTTTGTATACACATATCAATATTTTGGTTGACTTTTTTCTAGTTTTCCTGTTAACATTGAATATTCTTAACCCTTTTAAAGACTTTTGCAGTTAATGCCTAAGGTCCAATTATTCCAACTGCTCTCACCACTTGTTCTGATGTATGTCTAAGAATGTCCAGTTCATCTTTTAACGACCTGGCTTCATCGGCTAATGCTGATAACTCAGCATTCTGAAAAGAGAGTAAGAATCAAATTTACCCTTTAATAAATCCAATATACAATGTATCATGTTTGATGGAGATTATGCCACCACATACTGGCACACATGGAGATGTATGTGACACACAGCTGACAAAGGGAGGTAACCTGTGCAGGCACTCTACGACATTCTGTACTTATACATAGGCTTCATATCTATAGGCTTCAACACACAGTGAATGTTGTTTTCTACCACAGTCAGCTACAGTAGCAATCTCAACATTAGTTGATAGCATCAGCAACACTGTTCAGCTCACACTGTTGGAGTACAATGACACAATCAGCCAGTTCAGAATGCTCTAAGTTCATGTCAGTACTACTCCATCCATTTACCAGCTGAGTCCACACTATCTAAATTAGTGATGAAATACACATGTATCAGAAAATGTATACACACACATAAACATAACAGTACATGAACTGTACCTAAACAATGCTTAAGAATACATTACCTTTTCCTTCTGTTCTGCAAGTTCTTTTGATGCCACTTCAAATTTGATTCTGTAATCATCCTTGCCTGGTAAAACACACCAAAGATGGTCACTAGGACATCCAGTGCACCACACAGTATAGACAAGACAACATGACATTTATGATGTCAAAGAATTAATATATATGAGCGATTGTAAATGTTTAGTAGATCACTGTGTATGTAAAAACTAACCCTCATTATAATGCTATCATGTAAGACTTAAAAAAATAAAAGAATTGGTACTCTGGCAATGACTTGTGAAAATATAGTGTGGGCAGGCGGGCGGGCCGTGTTTCCTTTTTTTTTTTTGGTGTGTGTGTGTGTGTGTGTGGGGGGGGGGGGGGGGGCTTAAACTAGTATGTGACCAAATAAATACTTGTGTACCATCAACCTGGGAAAGGGTCTCCCTACATTAACTAGCATACAAATTCCTATTGCTGCTATGACCATAAAACGAGATGCACAGTAAAGCACTACGCATGCAAAGGGAAGTAACTGTGTGCTATATTGGATCGCATTGTTTTTAGTAGTAGGATTCTTTTATTTGTTTGAAAATGGAAATAAAAATGAAACATGCAGCAGACTTTATGATGATGCGGGCGGTGCCTGAGAACCAGGACTATTATTTTTTTCAGCCTAATTTTGACAAATTGTCAAAGAGAAATACTATACGAAAGAATTGGGGTTAATTTACAAAGCTTCTCAAAAATCACTCTTACAGCCACATGTACTTTGATCCAGGCAAAAACATCATAGAAAATAGGTTAGATTTTAAGTTTTCTATTACATTTGACAGATCTTATCACAAATTCAGTACCTGTCTCCAGCTTATACACCTCTTCCTGTAGTTTTTCTATCTGACTAGATAGGTGGTGGTACCTCTTTCCAGCAGGGGTACTAAATAACACACACAAGTACTTGTCATCTCAGTAATATCATAGTAACAACTCAAACAGGAATAAATGTCTGGAACAAGAAGAAAGCAATTGAGATATAAATTATTTATTTACATGAAATATTTGCTGCCAAAATCACATGACATCATCATCAACCTTACAACAAAACAAATCGAAATGCAAATCCACATGTTCCAAAGGATATGGGGTTGTGCGTGTGGACTGACCTTGGATCGTCCATACTCTCAGCTTGATGGAGTCTCTCCAATAGTCTCTCATTCTCCACACTGAACATTGTCTTCTCCTCTGACAGTGACGCCACCTGGGGGATAGCATGGAAAACAGTACAGAAGGGGGGATAATGCTGCTGAGCTCCATGCTACACTCTCTCAAATTAGTCTTGACACTTAATTCTGACCTGTCAAATTGATGGAGACCTTCAGCATTTAATATGCAGGTAGGTAGTCTCTTAAGGTCAGCTTACCTAAACGTTGAATGAGTCCTTTTTATCCTAATACTGTGCAGTACACATTCAAAGAATTAGTGTCCAAACCTATCTGAAAGACGTGTCCCTGTAACAATAACACAAGACTAACCTGCATATCAAGTTCGTGACATCGTTGCAAGAGTTCTTCTTTAGCTTCTAAGGCACTATTCAATTCTTCCACCGTCTTCTTCAGCTAAACACAGATGCATCATTGAGCCTTTGTTTATATTTTTGTCAAAAAATACAAAACTACCCTAACTGCTCAAAATCATCTGCTCTTGATCATGGTTCATTCCTGAGTGAGTAGATTTTAAAGCAGCTTTGAACAGTATTCCGTGGCATGTCAGCTTACTGTTGGAGGAAAGCTTGAAGTGACGCATGTCTCAGACGTTTACCACTTTGGTGAAAACCCATGAGCGTGTGTATGCATGGTGCTGACAAACCTAGAAACATAATCGAGGCAAACCAGGTTTCGAACCCACGATCATAGGTTTCTGCTGTGTCCAAGGGATGAAACTCTGTACAAGCAAACTGCAGCACCTTAGACAACTGGGCCACCCATGCCTCCGGTCTATTCCCGAAGCTAGTTATTTAAACTTTTACAAAGAAACTTAGAAACTGCTTATTTTAACTACCTATCTGAAAGAAATGTGAACACATATGCAGTGATAGATGAACACTAGTATCCTGACTAGAATGAATGTGCTGTGAGTAAGAATGCTTTTATTTGGCGTAACAGTTGCATGAGAAGATTTGCATTTGTTTTCTACAAACATGTTCTGAGGTCAGGTTTGGCTAGTCTGTTCCATATATATCTTGTAAATATATTCTGATACATAATTCAGGAAGCAAAAAGTTTGAACAAAGAGTATGTTTTAATCAATGATAATGAACACCAAGTAAAACTACCATCATTGATGAACCAACACTATCAATGGCCATGATGGCAACATCACAGATTTGTGGGTATACAGATTTCCCCAGCTAGAATCATCCATCAAACACGCTACAGAGGGGACCAGGGATGTCTGATACTAGTGAGTGAGTGGGTTGGGTTTAATGCCGCTTTTAACAGTATTCCAGTTATATCACAGCGTGTCAGCTTAATTTGGGAGGAAAGCCCGAAGTGATGCCAGTCTGAGGGGTTTACCACTTTGGTGAAACCCCCGAGCATGGGTATGGTGCTGACAGAAAATAGAAACATAAGCAGGGCAAACTGGGGTTCGAACCCACAATCATAGGTTTCTGGCGTGCCCAAGGGACGCAACTCTGCACAGTGAATCGCAGCCACCCAGTGCCCCCCTGTCTGATACTAAGGCCCAACAAGTGGAATCACAGCCAACATGTACCTGTTCTGCCATTTCTGACTCGGAATCTGCCGCAGAAGCAATTTCTTTTGTCATCAACTGCAAAAGCAAAAGAATAAATTTCAATCAAGATTTTAAAGTTTAAGAAAATTCAAGCTGCAACACAGATGGGTAGATTGAAATTCCTTGCACACTTCAGCACATAAAAAAAATTAATTTCTAAACATGCTGAAATCACAGTGGCAACAATAGCACTTGCCTAATAGAGATTTGTTTGTTTGTTGTTTAGTGCAGCACTCTGCAATATTCCAGCCATTTGACAGCAGTCTGTTAATAATCAATTCTTGACAAGACAATCCAGTGATTGACAGCAGCAATCCATGCAATCGGGATATGGTGACATGCATCAACCAAACCAGCGAGCCTGACCACCCAATCCTGTTAGTCGTCTCTTATGACAAGCATGGGTTGCTGAAACCCATTTCTAACCCGGATCTTCACTCGTCTCCCACAAACGAAACAACAATATTGTGTACCACCAACAAGATCCTTGTGGTGTAATTAATGCTGTAGGCGGTAATAATCCAGCCACATCACAGCAGCCAATAAATATTCAAATCTAGGTCAGGCAAACTGCTGGTGGCATGATAACGTCCCCCACAGCCGTAGTTGGATGTAACATGAAGTGAGGAGGCCCTACCTCCTGAATGGCGTTCATGATCATCTGCTGCACTGACTCCTCCATGGCCATGATGCGCTGGATGTACTCATGCTTCTCCTCACAGTTGACAGCACAGCCCAGGATCAGCTGCAGCAACCGCCCCAGCTCAGATGCATTGTTGTGTTCACCTGGATCCAGCAACGGTTTTAACCTCACACTCAACTCACTACAGTATGATGCAATAAAGACAGTCTAGCACAGATACCTTGTAAACATTATTCAAACATGTCAAAGAGCAAAGACAAAATAAAACAATGTTTATCTCCATAGTTTGTTTCCTACTGAGCATGCTGAGAACAATGTAAGTCAAGGTGAAATGGGGTTTAACGTTGCGTGCAAGATTATTGCACTAATGTAGCGACATGCATGCATGTGTCTGTGGATGCTTGTACTTGTCCAGACTAATGCCGACTAAATAGTCCACTGAGATACCATGCCACAGTTTAACATGAATACCCCACTCAGACACAGTATACTGACTGAGCAATCTTGTCCTTGTTCTATCCCCTTAATGCTAAGCGCCAGGCAGGGTAACAACAAAGACCATCTTTAAACGACTTTTGGTATGATACAGATGGGATCAAATCCCCAACCTTCTGCTCTCTGGGCAGATACACTACCACCAGACCAAGGAGGTGGTCTAAACAGAAACATAAACAGTGCTTACCTACTTATAACAATGTGAGAGTCATGCAATGTAGATGTTTTCATATGAATGGTTCCAGGTCTGTATGTTTTGTATCACTTTTGCAATATGAAAAGACAAACTTGTTTCCCAGTCTGTTTAAAGAATCTATTTTCAGCTGACAGCAGTTTGAGGCTGCTACTTACCCTCAATGTGGCCAGCCAGCCAGTGAGATATATTATCTGTCTGAGTGAACACAGCAATATTAATGGTAAGTATCAAGTCTAGACCAGACAAACCAGTGATTGGTTATATGAGCAGCGGCCCAGTCTGTTTGAATACAATGACTATACACACTCTCAGCTAGACAACACCTCCTTATTCCAAGCTTAGTCAGTGCTTCTGACAAGCATTGGTAACTTGGAATCTATTCCACAGCAGGAGGTGGTGAGGTGAAATTGGGTTTAACGTCTCGTCCAAGATTATTGCACTTATATAACGACGTGCATGCACGTGTGTGTGTGTGTGTGTGTGTGGCTGCTTGTACTAGACTGATGCCGATTTATAGTGCTAGCTGACTGAGATACCATGCCGCAGTTTAACATGAATACCCCACTCAGACACAGTATACTGACTCCGAGCCGACCAGTCCTTGTTTTAGCCCCTTAATGCCGAGCGCCAGACAGGGTAACAACAAGTACCATCTTTTAACGTCTTTTGGTATGAAGCGGCCGGGGATCGAACCCCGGACCTTCCGCTTTCCGGGCGGATGCTCTACCACTAGACCACGGAGGCGGTCTCCACAGCAGGATTACCCATGGGCAGATGATACATCATATAGTGCAATATCCTAGTGACAGGCAATGGATGCTCAGAAAGTAGGAACTCCCATGAGGAGAAGATATAGTGCAATATCTTAGTGACAGGCAATGGATGTTCAGAAAGTAGGAATTCCCATGAGGAGAAGATATAGTGCAATATCTTAGTGACAGGCAATGGATGCTCAGAACTATTCCACAGCAGCAATTCCCACGGGGAGATGTTATCAGTGCAATATCTTAGTGACAGGCAATGGATGTTCAGAAAGTAGGAATTCCCATGGGGAGACGATATAGTGCAATATCTTAGTGACAAATAATGGATGCTCAGAACATATTCCACAGCAGCAATTCCTTAAGGAGACGATTTAGTACAGTATCTGAGTGATCTGACACAGACACAAGCCAGGTTAGAGCGAAGGGATAGTACCCAGCCCTGCCCGGAGTGCCTCAGGTCAAGTAACCATCTCCAATGACAAGCTTGAAGTAATCTGTCTAAGATCACCCACAGGGAAATTATGACGTGAATTTTTTCCCTTCCTGAACCAGTCTGACCAAGTAATGTTGCAGGAGTGAGTTGAGCCATCTAGCTGGCATTTGAACAGTGAAAATGGCACAAATCCATAACAGTATTCTAGGGACTTCTTTCAGCATTCTTAAATATGTATAAACCCACGCTAACAGCTGGGAAACATGGTGAAGTAGACATTCTTCTAATTGCAAACACATTGCTCATTCCACATAACCAACTGTCTCTCACCTATGGCATTTATATCGGGCATCTGGAAACCTTGAATCTGTATACCAAGCACCTGCAAGGGGAAAGTACAACAATATCAGGTCACTGTGCATTACAAATGGATAACATGAAATGGACGACTTCTTCATCAGTTACACATTCTGGTTTACCAAATGAACCAAGGGGTGTGATTGATGACATATAGTGTCATGTACAACCAGTATAAGTGCACATTTTCATTCATGAGATCAAATATGCTTCTTACCCTTGGTACTGCTGTTATTGGAGCACTTTGCTACATGTTAAAAAAACACACTCTAAAACATCTCTTGAAACATGCGATTTCTTTTTACCCACCTCAAGATTATATTCCAGTATTCCTTTCAATATTTTCTTCAAGTTGCTGACCTGAAAATAGCCGTTAAAACATGAGAATTTGGGTAAATATCATAAAACAATTATGTCAGTCAAAACTAATCATGCTCATCTTACTAAATTATCTGAAACGGTGTAGCGATTGACAAAGACAAAGAATGTTAGGATGATTATACATTTCTTTTTCCAGAGATAGAACATGAGATACAACTAATACTTTCCTATCTACATGTCACTTGTTCCTGTCCACATGTCACTTGTTCCTGTCCACATATCACTTGTTCCTGTCCACATGTCACTTGTTCCTGTCCACACATCACATGTTACTGTCCACACATCACATGTTCCTGTCTACACATCACATGTTCCTGTCCACTTGCAACTTGTTCCTGTCCACAAGTCACTTGTTCCTGTACATAAGTCACTTGTTCCTGTACACGTCAGTTGTTCCTGTCCACACATCACTTGTTCCTGTCAACATGTCACTTGTTCCTGCCCATACATCACATGTTCCTGTCCACATGTCACTTGTTCCTGTCCACATGTCACTTGTTCCTGTCCACACATCATATGTTCCTGTCTATACATCACTTGTTCCTGTCCACATGTCACTTGTTCCTGTCTACATGTCACTTGTTCCTGTCCACACATCATATGTTCCTGTCTATACATCACATGTTCCTGTCCACGTCACTTGTTCCTGTCCACACATCACTTGTTCCTGTCCACACATCATATGTTCCTGTCTATACATCACATGTTCCTGTCTACATGTCACTTGTTCCTGTCCAAACATCACTTGTTCCTGTCCACACATCATATGTTCCTGTCTATACATCACATGTTCCTGTCTACATGTCACTTGTTCCTGTCCACATGTCACTTGTTCCTGTCCACACATCACTTGTTCCTGTCCGAACATCATATGTTCCTGTCCGAACATCATATGTTCCTGTCTATACATCACATGTTCCTGTCTATACATCACATGTTCCTGTCCACATGTCACTTGTTCCTGTCTACATGTCACTTGTTCCTGTCCACACATCAGTTGTTCCTGTCCACGTCACTTGTTCCTGCCCATACATCACATGTTCCTGTCCACATGTCACTTGTTCCTGTCCACACATCACTTGTTCCTGTCCACATGTCACTTGTTCCTGTCCACATGCAACTTGTTCCTGTCCACATGTCACTTGTTCCTGTCCACATGTCACTTGCTCCTGTCCGAACATCATATGTTCCTGTCTATACATCACATGTTCCTGTCTATACATCACATGTTCCTGTCCACATGTCACTTGTTCCTGTCCACATGTCACTTGTTACTGTCCACACATCAGTTGTTCCTATCCACGTCACTTGTTCCTGCCCATACATGACATGTTCCTGTCCACACGTCACTTGTTCCTGTCCACACATCACTTGTTCCTGTCCACATGTCACTTGTTCCTGTCCACATGTCACTTGTTCCTGTCCACACATCACTTGTTACTGTCCACATGTCACTTGTTCCTGTCCACATGTCACTTGTTCCTGTCCACATGCAACTTGTTCCTGTCCACATGTCACTTGTTCCTGTCTACATGTCACTTGTTCCTGTCCACACATCAGTTGTTCCTGTCCACGTCACTTGTTCCTGCCCATACATCACATGTTCCTGTCCACATGTCACTTGTTCCTGTCCACACATCACTTGTTCCTGCCCATACATCACATGTTCCTGTCCACATGTCACTTGTTCCTGTCCACACATCACTTGTTCCTGTCCACATGTCACTTGTTCCTGTCCACATGTCACTTGTTCCTGTCCACATGTCACTTGTTCCTGTCCACACATCACATGTTCCTGTCCACATGTCACTTGTTCCTGTCCACATGTCACTTGTTCCTGTCCACATGCAACTTGTTCCTGTCCACATGTCAATTGTTCCTGTCCACATGTCACTTGCTCCTGTCCACACATCACATGTTCCTGTCCACACATCACTTGTTCCTGTCCACATGTCATTTGTTCCTGTCCACGTCATTTGTTCCTGTCCACATGTCATTTGTTCCAGTCCACATGTCACATGTTCATTTCTGTACAACGACTGACCTTTAACCTCCAGTTTAGGGTGTCATCTCTCTTCATCTTAGACATCCAGGATTCACTGAAGTAATCTGGAGCTCTGAAAAACCCAAAGAATCAAAATATATAACAATGAGCATGATGAGTCCCTGTCACGTATGTTAAGCATACATTACAACCCCTCACATATGAGGTTACCTGCTTGTATCATGTGTAATTTGTCAACAAATTCAACATTTTAGGTCACCAGGGTTCAGGATAATGTCTTTAAGCCATTGAGTTTTCACTCACCTGTTATCATTCACTTTTAGGATTTACCATTTTCTTTGGTTTCTTGTTTATTTGTTTGTTGCGGGCATGCGTATTTGCACACAAGCACCTCAAAATTTATTGGTCTTTATTCCAATCAATGCTGCTTATCTGGAGCTCTGTGTCACTCTCTTCTTAATGATGCTTATAATTTGTTATTATACAAACAGCTCAGCATTTGGAATTGGCACTAATCCTATCATGCCTCATCTTCCCGAGGCAAGAGAGTTAACTGACTTTAAAAGTCCAGTTTCCACCCTTGCCGAACTAGGCTGGAATTCCTGGGCTCGATCGTAGCGCCACCAGTGGCTATTAGGAGTTATGTCCTTTCTCTGCCTCTCCTATTGACCAATCAGATTCATCCTCTCGTATCACTTGTATTTGCTTCAAACAAAACGGTGGCACCCAGTCAAGACGATCGGATTGATAATCAAGATCTATATTGTGATAAAACGAGTCTTACATCGCGAAGTGCATCAAATCACGTGAGCACCTTGATTAAAAGCATGAAAAGATTTAGAAAATATCTGTTGACAACGAGTTAGCTGTGCACATGCTTTGCAAATCCTGCAATCGACCAAAATCTGCATGACACTTTACGTACCGGATTTCGATTACGGTGCGCGATTTTGATTGGACTATGCATAGACTCGTTAGTCCAGCCAAAATGTAACTCCATAATAGCAGCCTAAGTCGGCAAGGGTGGAAACTGGACTTTTATAGTCAGTTAACTCACTTGCCTCGGGAAGATGATCATGCCTATAGTCCTTGCCAAACTGCCCAATAGTTAACATGGTTAATGAATCATAAGCATGATAAGGAATAGTAGAAATTGACCTTTTTAAGGGTTTTGCTATATGTTATCCTTGTAAGGACTAGCAGAGCTCCAGATAAACTTTTGGTGTTGTGGGTATTTTACCCATGCATTTTAAAATCATTGGGTATCAGTAATTCTATCTGCGTATTCAAATTTCTGTTACCCACTAGTTTTTACACGTGGGTATTTTAAAACACTTTTCATCTAGTCCCTGCAAACTGGTGTCGTGTGGGTTCGAGAGCTTTATAGGACTCAAAAATACCACGATACTTGCACAAGAAAGTGTGATGGCAAATGATCATGGTGTTACTGTCATCGTGGAGTTTGGCAAGGTTGACGGAATGCCCGTTTATAATTTCAAAAAAAGTTGCTGATTTGCTAATCGAATACGCAGGGTTACTTCACAATATTTTGATGATACGCACAAGTTTGATTTTTGTAGCATATCTGTAATGTTCGTTGCGTATTTGATACGCTTGGATTTTATTTTACTGCGTATTTCACGCAGAAACGCAGTTTATCTGGAGCTCTGACTAGTGGACTACACAGGGTGTTTCTATTGCTCCATCTGAACACATTCATGATAACACCTGACTATAACTGTCTTCAACATGTTCAAGACAGGCTACATAGTTTCCAGTCTAACAGTGTGCCAAATGTCCTCATTATATTCATCATCCCAGCTCAGGAGCATGGGCTGAGCCAACATTAACTGTGCCCTGTTCCACAAAGCAATCTTAGTGCTAAGACTGCGGTAAGTCTATGTTAAAGTATTGGGGTTATGAATATGATCATTTTAGCGCTACGATCGCTTTCTGGTAAGGTGCCCAGGATTATCATAAATAGTATGCTTGACAGCAATTGAAATGAAGCATGAAGGTCAAGGGGTCTCCTAACATTGCCTAACCATGCTAACCAAGAATGCAACATCACCTAAAACATTTACTAGCCTGAATAGGGGTAACACATACTGAAAAACCTGAAATAGTACTATATGTTTTGCTTGTTTATTTGTTGTTTAATGCAGTAATATTCCAGCCATATGACGGCGGTCTGTAAATAATCAAGTCTGGACCTGAAAATCCAGTGATATCATGAGCATCAATCCACGCAAAAGGGATACGATGACATGCATCAACCAAGTCAGCGAGCCTGACCACGCAATCCCGTTAGTCGCCTCTTACGACAAGCATAGGTTGCTGAAGACCACCTCTAACCCGGATCTCCATGTTGGCTATACTAGCTCTCACTGTTAAGATTAGATATTCTGCCTCAGGTTAGTGCCCATTTTAACTGGGCTGATGTGGGGGTCTCTAGATTCAAGTATTATAAATATGGCAGCAAACATCAAGGACCACATGACCACATTTCATAATAGCAACTAAGAATAACCAGAGGGAGATAACTCACATCTGGTGAAGTACTTGTGCCATGGCTATTCCATTACTAAGCTCATCAGCCGTGCTGCATGGCACATCTATATTGAAAGTCTTCAGCTGAAACATAAAGCAATTTAATAATAACCATCCCCAAACATCATGCTGTAAGTTTCATTTATATGAATGACACTAAAACAAAATAATATAAATCTCTTATCTGCAAGTAGTGTTTCATAATGGTAATATTAATTCAAATCCACTTAACATGCTTAAAAATTAAGTATAATTGTGTGTGTATGTATAAGCATTTAATGTAGTAACACCATATTGTCAGCATATGTTCATTAAAAAAAAACAGCCACGATATAAAAGAAATGAAAATGTTGAATTATGAAATTTCAGAGAAATCACTAATATTCATTCTCTTCAAACATTTGCAGGATGTATACAAGGTATACATGGTGTAAGCATGGAGAGGAAGAAAAATAGATAAGACTAAAAAGAATTATATAATTAAACGGATTGAGCGTCAATGCATAGGACATACAACCTTTGGAGGGGGATACAGTCTTTCCGAAAAATAAATTATAATCATGATAATGGCTTTTCATATCTACTGCATTGTCTATGATCAGTTTATAGCTAAAGCGGCACCTCAGCAAAACGTCACTTAGCGCAAACGTGACCGATTGGCAGAAACGGCACCTCGCCTAAAGCGAAAATGGCTACTATTGCCTGGCGAAAACAGCACATTATTATTTTTTTTACCTTGGTACTGAAATACATGAAATTGAACTCACATGGTCACTTGCAAACACAAATAACTGTGAAATGTTAAAATAAAGTTACATTAGAAACTAGCCTCTACTCGCCGACTGTGATTTGAAGGGGCAACTAAACTTATTGTGAAAACATTACATGCTTTGAAGTAAAATAAACAAAATTAAACTCACATGGTCACTTGCAAACACAAATAATTGCGAAATGTTAATTGCCTTAAAACAGGTTTACATTAGAAATTAGCCTCTGCTCCAATTTACTCACCGACTCTGATTGGGAAATGCAACTAAACTTATCATTGAAACATCACATGCTTTGACGTTTTAAGTACCTTTACTCAAATTAACTCAATCAGCAGCATGATCAGTCAATGTCAAGAAATTGGGCTACAGATATACTATATATTTATCATGTATTTTAGTAAGTAGGAAACCGACATCACAAGAATGTTTCTTCAGATAACAAACGGTGTCCCCAGCCAAGGAGTTAGTGAGTGAGTGAGTATGGTTTTACACTGCTTTTAGCAATATTCCAGCAACATGACGGCGGGGGACACCAGAAATGGGCTTCACACATTGTACCCATGTCGGGAATCGAACCCAGGTCTTCAGCGTGACGAGCGAATGCTTTAACCACTAGGCTACCCGACCGCCCCCCCCCAGCCAAGGAAAACATATATACTACGACATAACATAATAAAGTACGTAAATAAAGCATCTATACTTCTACATAAATCGGTCTTATCGTTATTAAAAATAGAGGTGCCTTTTTCGCCAAATCAGCAGCTGTTTTAGCCTTAGATCGGTGACATTTTGCTGAGGTGCCGTTTTAGCCTGCACCCACCCAAACATAGTTGTGGTGTGGGCATACATGTCCATGATGTCAGCACAATTCAATGCTTGATATGTGATTTGACGATAAGACCAATTTCACAAAAACAATACTCGAACGCAAAATATAACTACAGAAAGAATTAACTGTGATCTAATCACACGTTTTACTAAGACCTGGGCCATCCGGGTCTCTGCTCAGACGCAGGAAAAATATTTTGACAGCTTACTTTAGGGGGTCATGCATCGTCACCATTTACAGCACACCTCTGATTAAACATGAAGACATGGAAAAAACGATGAGGATTCTCAGTATAAATCTCAATAAACGTGCCATTAACTGCACACGCAGCTTTAATGCATGATGAACCTTTAAATCACCATGGAAAGTATGTGAAAGTCCACTCCCATCATCTGTTTCGAATCAGGTCAGTGTTTTGACGACCTTCCAGTTAGTTTTTTATTCAACTCACCCAAGTGATAAGGCTGGTACAAAGTTTGTCTCTATCCATTTTCGCGAAAATCAAATCAAACAAACTCCAATGAAAATAGAAGTGATTAATCAGCCCATGAAGAAAATATTGTTTGATCTTGGTATTTTTGGTTAACAGGGGTCGCAACTCGCAATCTGCTTCCGGTTAAACAACTACTGTAACAACTACTTATATATTCACGTGCTCTCAGTAAAACGTCTGTTGAGAATGACTAAAATTTAATGTAGTTGCTTTCGAATATATATGTATTTATGCATCGACACAGGGCAAAACCTACACTTGAATTGGTGTAGCCATATTCTGTTTTGACAATGTTACGTTTGATATATGTTAGTCATAATACTTATCATATCTCAATCTTCATTATGTTCTCATTGATTCGGCAATGGTCTGACCGACCACATTGCGAAAACATCTGAAAGTACTTATTAAGTCTGAACCAAACTAGCAATGAAGGAACAGTTGCAAAATATTACATGAAATGGCAATGAAAATGTTTGAAAATACTAAAAGATCGTCAGCTTGAAAACATCCGAGTTTTCGCGGAATACGCTTTCCTTATGATCCTTGTGATGCCGTTCTGACCTGCAACTCATAGTTGATCTCCATTTTTTTGTACCACAAAAAGACAATGTTCAATACATGATACTTTATGTTATTATGATTTCATATTTGGACTATGTGATCAATAACACTTTCTATAAGTATAATAACTCATATTTATATTAAACAGTAATGTTGATGACGCAGAAGCTAATTTTTGGTTTATGTCTCTGGGACAAGGGCTAGATAATATGATGGGTTCCAGATAATTATTTTAGCCATTGAGTATTTACTCATGTTATTATTCACATTGCTTATTGATAGTCTTCTTCGGGTAGTCAGTATATACTCATCTTCCCGAGGCAAGAGAGTTAACTGATTTTAAAGTCAGTTAACTCTCTTGCCCCGGGAAGATGGTATATACATGTACTCTCATGGGTCCATTCCATTGTGTTTTGTAAACCGATTAGTAGTTTGTTTGTTTGGTTTTATAAATAATTCTAATATTCTGTTGTTTCAGGTAACTTCTAATTACTTTATGTCCGTGTTCTGCTCCAAGTGAGTCAAGACCTTAATCTCATAACAGTGATACTTGTAGTAAGTAATAAGTAAGCGAGATGTCGCATTCAGTGCGTTCACTGCAGTAGAGTTCATGTACACGTGATGCATGCATTCAGCCAGTAAGAACAGATCTGTAAAGATATATATACGTACGTGTTCTTTAGCTGAAGAAGCTACATTGGGTAGGTTTAAAGAATCTCTTATGCGTATTCACCATTAATTGGGTTACTACATTTAGTTTTTGTATTGATCAGGAGCTCTGTATGACACACTATTGCTGGCTGGTGGGCCATGTGACCACTACCTGGACAGAGTTAACCTCGGACAAGGTGACGTGGAACCATTTAGGTAACGACGACCACCGCACCAAGAACCTGTCTTGGGAAGATTTCCTCACAAGATTACCCATGTTGCCCAGTTTACTCACCCCAATACCTATGCAGTCGTAGGTTCACTGAAAGACGAACTTTGAACCAGGCAATGTCAGATATTGAACATAAGTACTGCAGTAAGTTGTAATCGTGAAGAGATGTGTTAGTGCTGTCACGTTTGTTTGTTTGTTTGTTTGTTTGTTTGTCGCCACACTCAGACATATTTTCCAGCTATATGACAGCGGTCTGTAAATAATCAATAATCAGAGTATCCATTGATTGACAGTGGTGTCATGTAAACAGACAAATTATCATATACATTAGTTCTGAAATGTATGATAAGAAATGAATTTATGATCATCAGTGATACACTTCAAAATAACAATTTAACGAAAGATCAGAAAAAAAATATAATAAATGTTAGTGCTTCATGACTTATCAAATAGATTTGTGTTGTTCCCCTATATATGTTACATTTGCTATCACTTTCCAAAACAATAAGTGTTCGCTATTTAGTGTGTTTTGATTGTCATTATCGGTTCACTAAGTGTCGGCATGAGTTCACTGAACTGGGAAATTCCGTAACTGTCGACACTGATTTCCCTTACCAAAGGTTTGTTTGTCGACACTCATTCAACGTGGCTAGACACTTTCCACAACACTATATTTATCTGTCGAGATTTCCTTCTGCTTTATTTTTCATCCTTCATAAAAATAGTTGTAAAGAAGTACTACATATTATCAGCCCTTTGACGTTTATAAACTGGTTCTAATGTTGATACGCACCGCAATCTGACCGCTTTTACTCGTTTTGGTAGACAGGAGCCCAGTCTATGACGTTTACCACTGGAGATTTGTTTACATTAATTCGAGTAAATGTGGTCTGTTTAGATAGGTACTGCAACCATTTGCAATATTTAATGGACAAACAGACATAGTGACATTTCGAATCATTTACGCGTGGGCAATCTCTGCTCTGGCAAGATGATGGCAACTCAAATCACGTGACCTATACTTCCGTGTCTATTTTTAGCTGTCTCTCAAGAAGGACACGTTGAGAATGTAAAACTAGACATGCAGGCGCTAAATGAGAACATTTGACGCACATTTGAAGATTTTAGTAGATGCCTATGATTTGTCAACAAACCTGTCCAAGAAATGGCATCATATCTTAGAAAGGCGAATATAATAGAGGGAATAGGAAATGAAGTTGTCTATGGTCTTGGAGCATTCCTGGGAATATTGGTACCAATGATAGCATTTGTGTTAAAAAGGTAATGTCATGTACAGTATCTGTTTTCTTGACTGACATGGTAGGTATGGATATATCTTGTACACATTAATGATTCAGTAGGTGTTACAAGTGAAATCAAAGGTCAAAAGAAACTAATTTATATTCAGTCATGTATTATGTGTTCATGGGTCAGTGTATGGTGGTGATATAGGCCTACCTGTTACATTTAGCCTTTATACGAGATTTCTCACAATTCTGAATTGATGTATCTGCATTTAGTTTAGTTTACATCTATATATGTTAATCTCTGAGTATATCAAAATGTCAATTGGTCGATACCAGTAAGTAGTAACAGATTGGTTATTAATCTTTTGTTGGTCTAACATTGTATTCTTGGCAGTTGTGTTCTAGGTGGTTCTTACAGGTTTGATATGACTTGTTTCATGGCCTATTTGATTACAAACATGTTTGCCATTCAGAGTCAGGAGAGTTCATAAATGAATAAATGATATACATTGTTATATTCCTTGATCACATTACAGCATCTCACATGCATTAAAAGTCTCACCTGAAGACTGACCATTTTAAAACATGATAAAATGTCAGCAGAGAAGATAACTGGTAATGTGTTCTCAGTTTGAAAATGTTGTTAGATGATTCTCCTTCACCAGAACTGTCACTGAGAACAGAGACCATATAATCGATCTATTATATGGTCTCTGCTGAGAATCACCAATTTGCACTCAGTAGTTTTTATGTGCCAATTTGATTGTATGTTTGTTTGTTTAACACCATGCAACCAGCCAAGTCACTGAGTCAGACTACCTGATCCATTTTGTCGCCTTGTGTGACATGCCAAGGTTGCTGGGGACCTAACATGGAAATATTTCCGATATGATTGCAAATGGACAACACTTTCAAAATGTTCAAAGGTATTCTGCTATTTCATCATCTGTAATAGTATATAGTAGAGTGTCACTGAAATTTCTCATATTTGGTTGCTATGATGTCAGATGGAAGAGTTTGCAGTCAAATTAAAAATTTACGAGTATATTTTTTTGGTCCCAAGTTTATGACAAACAGACTGTTTGGTAATACTTGTCAAAGATTTGTTATTCTATCTTGTGTTTTGTGCATATTTGAAGTTCCCATGGGGATTTTGGTTTAGAATAGGTCCATAGCAACCTATACTGTCGTAAGAGGCAACGACTAAATGGATCATGTGGTCAGGCTCATTGACTTGGTTGATGAAGTATCAAATTTCCTCGACAGCGTGGATTGTTGCTCCCAATATCGTCTGGTCCGGACTGAATTATTTACAGGCCGTAGCCATACAGTTGGAATAGGGATGAGTGAGCTGTTAGACAACAAACACACACACTCTGTGCATTTCAAGGTCAATATTTTTGGTAATTGTCAGTTCAACATTTTGCTGGTGGGCATGTGTTTTTCCTGTCTACAGAGAAGTGTGACTTCCTAGCCGAGTTATTTTTATTGATCATCAATCTCATTGTGAACCCGTTAGCTAAGTAAAACCAACCCAGATTTGGTTGCCCTTATCATGTTCGTTTGTTTGTTGTTTGTTTGTTTGTTCTTTAACACCACACTCAGCAATATTCCAGCTATATGACGGCGATCTGTAAATAATCAAGTCTGGACCAGACAATACTGTAATTGACATCATGAGCATTGATCCATGCAATTGGGATATGATGACATGCATCAACCAAGTCAGCAAGCCTGACCACCCGATCCTGTTAGTCGCCTCTTACGACAAGAATAGTCGCCTTTTACGGCAAGCATGGGTTGCTGAAGACCTATTCTACACCGGATCTTTACGGTTATGATCAAATCATAATTTGGAATGTTCATAGTTTGTGGATAGATTTGATTTTATTTGATGATAAAATTACTCCTATCGTAGAAGTACATGGCCTCATTGCAGTTTTACATGCAGCAGTTATCAGTGACAGTTCATGGTGAAATGATCGCAGTACTTCCAAAATAGGTTGTCAGCGCAACAGTGCTTTGATCATTGTGTCGAAATGAAACATCTTCAGACAGAGACTGCAAGTTATAATCATATTATGAGACTTAAATCATGTTTATTTAGCAATTTTACTTTTTAAGTATGATCAAAATATTATTTTGCAGGGATTTACCCTAGACCTGCTTAGAGGCTGCTATTTTGCCCAAAGCCTACAGCAATTGTCAGTAAAGAAATTCAAACTGGAATTACAAATTTCTAAATTCATGTTATTTAAGATTTCACTTCCAGTTTTTGCATGTATGGATGTACAAATGTAAAACCCCGAAGTCCACTGTGTAAATGTGCAAAGTGTGCACACCAGTCTTCAGGTTAATAAGACCATAAATGCAAAACCATATTGAAGTCAATACTTATAAATAAATAAGTCATCAATAATAACTTCACAGACTGTTTACGTGATTGTTAACACAAACATCAAGACACAGCCCAGCTTTATGTAAATGTCCAAGATCAATTTTGGAAGGTTTAAGTGTTCAAAAGTTATTGCAGTGAAATTAGAGTATAGTCTTTGAATCTGCTAAGGTGAGGTGAAATGGGGTTGAACAATGCACATATTATTGCACTAGTAGTGATGCGTTGGTGTTTGTTGGAGGGAGGGGGGCAGTTTAACATGGATACCCCACTCAGACACACTGTACTGTCTCCAAGCCATCCAGTCCTTGTTTTTTTCACCCTAATGACGAGTGCCAGGCAGGGTAACATGAACTACCACCAAGTACGTCTTTTGGCATGTTTGGTATAACACTGCCAGGGATCGAACCCGGACCTTCCGCTCTCCGAACAGACTCTGTCCACCAGACAACAAAGGGGGTCTGAATCTTCTGAAGTAGATGTGGAAACAATAGGATGATGTCATAGATTTGTCATGTTCATGGAAGCTGATTGCTGTTGCTGTAAAGTTTTATCACTCAAATTTCAGGCAGCAAAATCGGAATCAGACCATTCACCCGGAGAGTGCAGCCAATGTAGAATCAACACGAACACGTCTTCGCAACGAGGCCGGCACCGCAGACAGACCATCGAGAGCCAGACGGGACAATAACGGCCAACTCACATGTCCGATATGTTTGGCCGATGCTGCTTTTGCAATAGAAACAAACTGTGGCCATGTTTTCTGTGGTACGTTTTATGTGAAGTTTATTATAGAATTCTAGAACACTGAGCCACAAATATAAAAACTTTTGGCTAACCAGAGGCTGGTGCACTGGGGTCAACACTGCCCTCGTTTCAGACACGTAACATGTCAAGCTCTTTGTGTGTTTTTGTTCACTTCAAGACTCGGGTGTAGTGTGCACCAACTTTTTGGAAATTAAGTATGCTCATCTGGAAACAAAGTCGTGTAGGTGTAGCAATGACTATGATCTAACCTACCTACATTCATCAAGCATTGTATGGGTACCAGGTAGGAAGAATAGTTGGATGACCAGATTAAAATACAGTGATCTACATATGACACGCTTGAGAATGTTTGCACAACAGTTATATGATATCATTCTTCAGCAAGTACAAATTGGTTTGTGATAGCAAATATTTCATTCCATATCAGAATGTGACTATGATAAGAATCTAGTTTAGTTTGATAAAGTAAATGTAGGTGCTGACTTTAACAAATTGCATAATTCCGACAATATTTCAACTTTTTTTGGAACAGATATGTCCCAATCATGTAAAACAATGATAATCATCCTCATTATGATAAGCCTGTAGAGTGGATCTAAAGGTGTGATTATGATGATAATGATCCATGTATTCTGCCTATTACAGGCCACTGTGTGATCACCTACTGGCAGCATGGTCAGTGGCTGGGGGCTGTCCGCTGCCCTGTGTGCAGACAACAGGTACGTATACCAGGGGTCCGGAAAATTTAAAATCCCAATCGGACATTTGCATTTAGGCCACGCCCCCTTCAAATAGCGTATTTTAGTACGACTTTTCACACACATTACAAGTTGTTACGCATTCATAATATGATGAATTATTTCAATCTTAATTGTTGAATTCAACGGACAATTAATAACAAATAATATCATTTTAGATATATATGGAAAACATACGTTTGTTTCTGTTATATACCATATATATACCAGTGCTTGACACTCACCAAAATTTGTCAGTGGTCCAAAGGACCAATACCAAAAGAATCTACCGGTCCTGTTGGATCTCTACTAGACACATTGGTACTTAGAGTTTAGAATTGACTTGTCGCCGATTTCAATAGTCGTACATACTTAAATTATTTTGTTTGTCCCTCAAATAACACTAGACCACCAGACCACCATTTATATAATTTTAGTGGCCCTCAAGAAAATTTACTAGACTCGGACCAGCGGACCAGTGTTAATGTTGAGCACTGTACACCAACTGTTTCAAATTGTCATTGTTCATTGGACATCATCAATCCACCCTCACTTGCATGCTCCAGAATGTAAATGACAAAGCTAAGAATTACTATGAATGTCACATATTACATTGTTTGTGTTTTCCGTGATATAACTGGAATTCTGTTAAAAGCGGCGTTAACCCCAACTCACTGACTCACTCATTTGTGTTTTAGACATGAACACTTTGAGATATTACATCTCTACTCTTTATGTACACATGGCTGCATATTAATAATGTGTGTGGGTGAGATGGGTTGGGATGGATGAATGCATGGGAATGGTGTGGATTGGATGGATAGATGGGTGAGTGGATGTTATGCGTGTATGTTCGGGAGGATATGTGTGGATGGGACGTTCGTGCATGGATAGAGTGTAAGAGTGTGCATTGCTGATGTCTGTAGGACATACATGTGTTTACATTAATGTATATAATTTGTTGTTACTGTACAACTAGTGACATGTAATAGTTCTCTCTGTCAGTAGGGGCGGTCGGGTGGCCTAGTGGTTAAAGCGTTCACTCGTCATGCCGAAGACCTGGGTTCGATTCCCGACAAGGGTACAATGTGTGAAGCCCATTTCTGGTGTCCCCCGCCGTGATATTGCTAGAGTATTGCTGAAATATTGCTAAAAGCGACATAAAACCATACTCACTCACTCACTCACTCACTCACTCACTCACTCACTCACTCACTCACTCACTCACTCACTCACTCACTGTTGTTTGGTTGCAAGTGTCAAGCATGTCCACTGTTTGTCAAATATGATTTGTGTTCCTGCATATTCTAGTTTTGTTTTGTTCTGACTTGCAGATCACTCTCCTCCTGCGTAACTTCACTGAGGGGGAAAACATCGACGACAGTGCAGAACGAAGAGTTATTTTAGACCAGATTAGCAACTACAACAGGCGATTCTCAGGGGAACCCAGGCCAGTACGTTCCAGGAAAATAAACATAAACCATAAACTAATATGTAATTTATCTCAAAATTGTACTTATCAGTGATATATTGTTTGACAGTCTTGGTTGAGGGTATCCCATGTTTAAGCTGTTCTATAAGGATGAAGAAAGAGATAAGCTTGGTGTTTAAGGGCAGGGAGAAAGGAGTGATGAATGAGTATACCCAGCGGGTCATTTCAGCCAATCATGATATATTATCCATTTTGCATCCTTTGGAACTATTTATATTATTTACATTTCTTCTGAAACCACTGGACTTGGATGGTGAAAGTTTACATGAATTGTGACAGGAATGCCGTCACTAGGTAGTGTAGTAGTTACAGCGTTCAGTTGTCACATCCGAGATCTGAGTTCGCTTCCCAACATCGATAAAATGTGTGAAGCTATTTCTTGTGTCCCCTGCTGTGATATTGCTGGAATATTGCTAAACGTAGTGTAAAACCATTGTCACTCACTCTAAAACATGCTCGCAGAATTCCAATCACATTTAGAACAGTGCTGCACCAGCCATATCGTAAACAAAATTCCACCATCTTTGCATGTTCATTTTAAAACTTTGGAGAAAATTTTGGAGAAATTTTAAATAACAGCAAATTTCTTATGCATATTCAATGTCACTTTCAGATCACCGACTATATCCGAGACCTGCCTGTCCTACTGCGACACGCATATACAGAGTTCTTCTCAGTGGGAGGGCTCATTTGGATGTTCCGACTGCGTGTGATAGTGTGTTTCTTTGCAGCCTTGTTATACTTCATCTCCCCGTTAGACATCATTCCGGAAGCTGTGTTCGGATTGCTGGGATTCCTGGACGATCTGTTCATTATTCTGCTCCTCGCAATATATATTACTATAATATACAGACAAGTTGTCCAGGCCAGGTCGCAGAGGACCGTCCCCTCAGCGCCACCTCCTGAAGGTCAAGGACAGACGCTAGGTCAAAGTTGAAGAGTTTTGTGAATGTTTTTGAAAGTGCATACTGCTTTGTTTTGAAGAGATACCCGGTGTGTCATCTCTTTTGTTAAAACAGCAAAAGTGATGTGTGTTTTTATGACCATTTTTCAAGGTCTGAGCTTTTTTAGGGCCATGAAAATATTAGGCTAGGATATGGACTCTCTTAACCAATATTTATTGCTCTGTGCAGCGCTGTAACTGTCAGAAGACTTCAAATGGACACCCATTCTAGATCTGTTGTACCCTAAGCATATCACAAAAGACAGTTCTTGTGGAAAGTGTTAAGATGGCTCAGGGAAGTAGGATTTAGACCTATGAATCTAGATCATAGCAAGGTTGCAATTGCATGGCACCGTACTGCCATGGACCAAACACCCTCTCTCACCAACTTTATTGCACTAATACAACACACAGTTTATAATTGACTAAAGTGGAGATTGGGTGTTCACAATGACTGCTGTGCATGAATAGTTCGTAGAGGGTGACCGTCGTTGGAGACCAACTCACTCACAACTGATCCATGCTCACATTATTGACTTTTGTTTGCCTGGATGAGCTTCAGAGACTAAGCATGGCCATGATATATCTATTGTATTACTGCCTGCATTATTAAACCTCAATTACCTTGCTTTTCAGTCAGAAATATTGTTTCTTGTAACATTTAAAATGCCTCACAGAAGTGCATGTTTTAGGTTCTTTATGAGCAGGTATGAATGTCCATGGTGAAGTTACTTCACAAGCAGAATACTGAACTTACATTCTTTTCAATCAAAAGTCACAGACTTTGTGCTTGCAGTACCATATTAAAGCTTATTGTGGTATATATTTTACACATGAACATTAATTCTTTGTTGTATTATTGTATTCAATAAGATACCTGTATGTGTCATAGTTTTTCATGGATGTCAACTGATCTGTTTTAACTGTTCTGAGTATTTCGATTAATCATTAATTTAAGGTTTTAATTACATTGCGCAAATGTATACTTTATATAGGGACATATACAGGAAAACCAATCAGTCTGTTGGCATTCTTGAAAAGAGCATCTTTGTGAGGTATGTTTACAACAAATGAATAGAATATAATTATATTGAAAGAAACATGTCCTTATTTCCATGTGGCTGTATGATGGGCAGAGTTACTTCCCCTAGGCATGCTCGTATCCTGTTATCATGGGTTCGAATCCCGGATTTGCACCTGAATGCGATCCTTAGTTTTTCAGCACTATATCAAAATCTTAGACAAGGTTTCCTCCAGCTGCCAACGCATTATATTACTGATATGTGACTGAAAGCACAGTTAAACCCAACTCACTCACTCACCTATATGATAGATCCGTCTGGGAAGTGGGCCCACGAGAAGACATCCAGATCAAGATGTCAGAGGGAGTATTTCCCAATTGTCTGTTTTGCAAAGTTTATTTTAACATTTGAAATATTTCGCTACAGCGTGTTATCCTTATATATAACATTTATATATTATCGATCAAACTATTTAGGGTCAAGTTATTTATATTGCACTGTATAAAGTAAGCATCTGTTTTCTCACATGCAGCAAGCTTCCCTGGTTGTTTGCCCCAATTATCTTCGCAACCTCTACATCTCTAGTTCGGCACAGATGGCCCAGTTGTCTAAAGCTGTGTCACAGTAGAAGTGTTCCTGCCTGCTGTTAGAATGCTCTACACATAGATAGCCTGTTCCTGTGCAAAGTTGGGTTCCTTAGGCTTCCCAGAATCCTTTGATTGTTGGTTCAAATTCCAGATTTCCCCTGATGTTTCTAGGTTGTTCAGCACCATACCTGTGCATGGGTTCCTCCTATGTCAATCTGACACGCCATGATAAAACTGAAATACTGTTTAACTCGGGCATGGGTGGCCCAGTCATCCCAGCAATTCGCTGTGCAGAGTTGCGTCCCTTCGGTCCCTCCCACATTAAGCTGACACACTGATATAACTGGAATACTGTTCAGAGCAGTGTAGAACCCCACTAACTCTCTTATTGAACCAAACTCTCTTACTCTCTATTGACTGAGGGTGGCCTGCACACTGATCCTTCCTTTGTCAACTTAAGTGGGGTAATTTTTTATGAAACTATCAATGCGTCCCAAGTGTCCATGTCCCCACAGTAATAGGTCAATAACAAGTTAAAGAGTAACTTGTTAACACCAGGGGTAGAATAGGTCTTCATGGGATCGGGTGGTCAGGCTCGCTGATTTTGTTGATGCATGTCATCTTTTCCAAAATTTGTGTGGATTGTTGCTCTTGATGTCAATCACTAAGTTGTGTCCCCTAGGTATGCCAGGAGCCAATGACCGTGTGTTCAAATCCCCGATACTCCCTCATTATGTTTCTCGGTTTGTCAGCACCACAAATGTGTTCATGGATTCACTGAAGGAAACATCTTTAACCTGAATCACATCACGATTCCTCCCATGTCAACCTGACACAGCTGGATAACTGAAATAATCAAAAATGTCTAAGACCTGCATCCACATGGCAATAGTTTCAGCCATGCCATGAAGATGTACTTCCAGATGCTGTCCATCCACCCTCCAGCTCCCCCTACTTATGTTAACAAGTTTATCTGATTCTCATCCCAGCTCAACTCTCTGTGTCTTTCTTGCTGTGACAGGTGCTTTTGAATATTCTGTCATTATTCATGAAATAACTGATTGCCATTAAACTTGTATATTTATTAGCATGACTGTTGGTGTTGTATTTAATTACCATAGTAATATGACTATTTTTGTCCTATTGGAGTACAACATACAGGATGTACATTCAATGTCCTGAACACACTACAAACAACACAGACAATGCAATGGTATTCGTTAAAGAACAGGTAATGGCTGTTCTCACTGATGAAATAAGGCACAGGTGCAATCGGAAATACAGTGTTGAACGACTGTCCAGTTATTGTGTTCTGTGTAAGTTTTGCTGCCTGATTTGTGTCTTTATTCGTAACAAATGTTCAAATTTGGGATTACACTTTATCAGTAAAGAGACCGCCTCCATGGTCTAGTGGTAGAGCGTCCGCCCGGAGATCGGAAGGTCCGAGGTTCGATCCCCGGCCGCGTCATACCAAAAGACGTTAAAAGACGTTACTTGTTGTTACCCTGTCTGGCGCTCGGCATTAAGGGGCTAAAACAAGGACTGGTTGGCTCGGAGTCAGTATACTGTGTCTGGGGTATTGGTGTTAAACTGCTGCATGGTATGTCAGTCAGCTAGCACTATAAATCGGCATCAGTCCGGACTAGTACAAGCAGCCACATACACATACACACACACACGTACATGCACGTCGCTATATAAGTGCAATAATCTTGGACGCGACGTTAAAGCCCATTTCACCTTACCTATCAGTAAAGAGTATATACTATAAGCACTTGTCAGCAAGGATGAAAATTTGATAGAATTTGGATCAGCATAATGGTGATCCGGTGCATATATTTTGAACTCAAGAAGAAAACGGTACTCGTCTATTATTTAGACTTCATATTTGGCAAATTTGGTTTTCTTATATCCTTCAATAACAATCAAATCGCCAATTCCCTTCCACTGATTTACCCACCTGAACTAGAAATATAGGAGACCAGTGAGACCACCTCATCTGTTTCATATTTAGATCTATGCATAACGATTTAGAGTGGTAAAACACTCTCCACGAGACTATGACAAGAGGGATGACTTTCCAATTGTTTACTTTCCCTTCATGTCGAGCGGGGCGGTCGGGTAGCCTAGTGGTTAAAGCGTTCGCTCGTCACGCCGAAGACCCGGGTTCGATTCCCGACATGGGTACAATATGTGAAGCCCATTTCTGGTGTCCCCCGCCGTGATATTGCTGGAATATTGCTAAAAGCGGCGTAAAACCATACTCACTCACTCACTTCATGTCGAGCAATATTCAAGCAGCTCCAGCCTTTGGTTTTTTAAATTTTTTAGCAACTTTTGAGATACAAATGAACCTGTTCTTTCTACCCAGATTCCAAATAGCGTCATACAACTCGGCCTCGGTAAAGCTTTCAAAAAGTTTTATGGTAGACATGTGGAGGACATTTCCAAATTTGACGCATCAGTGACAAAAATGATGTCCTTTGCAATTCCCTATTTTCACTTGTACCATATGTTCCCATGTTGTTGTTTTCAGGTGAACAAATGACTTGCCTTTGCATGTGTTTGTGATGGGTGCCACCGGTGGGGCAGGATACGCTCACCTTTTCGCGAACACCTAGTATCATTAATATTTGATAGTGATTCATAAACACAGGCTCGTGATATAGTCGCAAATGTACAATAGACACTGCTTTATGCAGAGATTTCTATTGGACATGGAAAGGGTTTTGTCGCTTTATGTATTTGGAATATCTACATATGGTCCAGTTTGAATAAATAAATCATGTGAGTTTGTCATTATCCACTTGATTGTCCACAAGCTTGATCAAAGTTAGATTTGAATAAGGTTTATTAGACCATAAAGTCTTATGCATGTGGCCCCATGGTCTATGAAGTCGCTATGACAGGGAGAAGCCACAGGTTGGAGTTTCTGCCCAAATAGAATGAATTGGGCGAAAAACACCTGATTGGTAGACATCAATCTCCCAAGTGGTCAGTCTCCACTATTTGGCACACTTGGTCTTGCTAGCTCTCATAGCGAACTGACACACTGACTGTCCCTGGCCACACTACCATCTAGCAGCAGTCAGCACCATAGTGTACATGTTGAAGGTGTTTCCCCACATCGGCTTCAGTTGTCAGTGGTGTAGGAAAGCACCACATTTTGAGAAATACTTTAAATGAGGATATAAGCTTTAGCTTTAATAGGAATATTCATATGGTGTTGGCCATTTGAAAATTCTAGATGGCTGTCAAATTTCAGGATGTCAACCCAATTTGTCAGTAAAAACCGAAATGAAACGTCTGAGGTGTACTGGAAAATATTTCAGCATGGAAGTCTAACTGGGCTGGTTTAGAAGCAATGTGAGAAATATATGATTGTAATAAGGGACCGACCTTTTGATATTCTAGGAGGGGGGATGAGGGCTGGGATTTTGCTAGGCGACTGGATATTTTTTCACCTACAGCTGTAAAACCAGATAAGAAGCTTTTTAATTGCATTCAGAAAAGACACAACATCGTATCTATCCTATTTACATGGCAACTCTTCCATTGAACTCAATCTTCGTGACCACATAACCTGTGAGTGAGTGAGTATGGTTTTACGCCGCTTTTAGCAATATTCCAGCAATATCACGGCGGGGGACACCAGAAATGGGCTTCACACATTGTACCCATGTCGGGAATCGAACCCGGGTCTTCGGCGTGACGAGCGAACGCTTTAACCACTAGGCTACCCGACCGCCCCCATAACCTGTGACGATGCATGCAACATAGTGTATGACCATGCATGCAATATACTCCAATGGTGAGTTGATATGGATAGAATATGAGCCCATTTCAGATGCTTTTGAATTGAGTTTCATAACACACCAGCTTTTTAGTAGAATGATCATTGCTAAATCCTTTGAGGCATCCGTGTTATACCGAACATACAAATTGAGCCTCAGATTTAAGTGATCTTGGTGTGAGATATTGACATGGGTTTACAAAGATAGCTTGCCCAGCATACAACTTAATGCTATAATCAGGACTTTGAACTCGACCCTTGCTGCTACAGACAACCACTGCAGGTCATGTATTATGTGAGAGAGACAGCTCTGTAGTATTCTGTATGCCTTGTAGTTTTGAAGTAGATTATTGCGATGCTACACAGCATGATGTTACAGTAGTCCAGACGGGGAAGTAGGAGGGTTCGTTCGAAGGCGGTTGTAGGTTCTCTTGTTATTAGATGCCAGATAGGTTTTGCACTTGATAATGGCACTTCCTGCACAGTTCGTGGACTTGGCGATCCATGCTGAGGTTCTTCAACCAACATGGCCCCAGTTTTGTCATGTTTCAGCCTTATTTTGCCACCATCCAAGACCCATCGGATCTGTGCATGTCTCAATACTGCTACGACACCTTGTGGTATAGGATCATACAGTCCGCTGGCTGTGTATCATCCGCGTACATGTGGCGCACTCCTGCGTCAGCTTACCAAGTTGTTGTTGGTGTAAGGCGCGGATTGTACTGGGTTCAAAACACATCCCTGTGGTACCCCATATGTCATATATCGATAGCTAGATTCAAAACTCCTTAGAAATAACAGGCTGGTATCCTGTTAAATAGGAAATGTTTAATGCGCCGTCAAGACAAGGTGAGGTGAGGTGAAATGGGGTTTAACGTCGCGTCCAAGATTATTGCACTTACGTGCATGTACGTGTGTGTGTTTGTGTGGCTGCTTGTACTAGTCTGGACTGATGCCGATTTATAGTGCTAGCTCACTGAGATACCATGCCGCAGTTTAACAGGAATATCCCACTCAGACACAGTATACTGACTCCGAGCCGACCAGTCCTTGCTTTAGCCCCTTAATGCCGAGCGCCAGACAGGGTAACAACAAGTACGATCTTTTAACGTCTTTTGGTATGACGCGGCCGGGGATCGAACCCCGGACCTTCCGCTCTCCGGGCGGACGCTCTACCACTAGGCGGTCCTGTCAGGACAAAATTTCAAGATATAGCCTCTGAATGAGTATCGAATACCGCATATCTAATCGAATGAGAATACCCATACCACCACCAACAGTTAAATGTAGACCTCCTCACATGCAAGTAGTGTCGTCTCAACACTGTGTCCAGCTATATAAGCAGTCTGAAACTTATAGTTCAGCTGATTTCAGTGAAAGTGCTCCTCCGATCTTACATTCACTGTTTTTTCAAGGATGTTAGGATAGATTTGAGGTAGGGTTATCGCGCTTTATAAACTGGTCACAGTCCAAGTAATTTTATTTAAATAAGAGCCTGACAAACACCCTTTTTAATCCGAGTTGCACAGTTCTTGTGTCGAGACTAATGTTTATGATTCTTGTCACCACAAGAAGGACACATGTGTTCCAAATACAGTTTTGTGACAATCGGATCCAAATCACAAGTTGTAACTTTGGATTGATTTATCAAGTTCAAAACCTCCGTTGGTGGTCTAAAAGACTGAAAAGGAATACCATCCAACCGATCAGAGTCAGCGATTGAGAAAATGTGTCATCAAGACCATATAGGTCTGTCATGACAGTAATCCCTGAACTGGTGCCTAGTCAGCATCATCCTCGGACAGAACAACGATTGCAGTATAATGCATAAACAATAGTCGCTAGGGCTGTGTGATCGCTGCACCATCCATTCCTTTGAGTGTTCTAGGGAAGTGAAACAAAACCTTCATGTTTGATAGAATCACGGCAGCGTATTTGAGAACATCTGGATGTGCACTTACAAAAGTTTAAAATAAGAGGTGGCGGCAGCATATTTCAGTGCTTTAACAATGCCAATGACACACAAATGCAGTAAATGTCCACAAATGTTGAAATCGTATACAAACGTTGCAATTACATGACACTGCGTACAAAAAATGGCAACAACACATAATACATACAGTAAATGGCACGAACACACAAGACTACATGCAGTAAATAGCAACACCACATGAGACTACATGCAGTAAATGGCAACACTACATGACAATGCGTACAGTAAATGGCAAGACCACATAACACTTCATACAGTAAATGGCACGAACACACAAGACTACATGCAGTAAATAGCAACAC